ACCAAGTTATATCATAGAAATATGGAACAAACTTAATAGTGCTAACTGTATACAAAATTGAGGTGAAGAAGTATACTTTGTCTCAAGGTAGATCATTAGTGAGTAGTAACCATTACTATGATAAGCAACAACCTTGGTATGTAAGTATGTTGTTAATTAAACAGAGAAGTTAAACTCAAGAGCACATCATATGAGCATGAAATAAAGAAGTCCACGTTTTTACTCACTTTACACATTCCATAATCAGTTAGTTTAATATGACCTTCGCTGTCCATTAAAACATTGTCTAACTTGAGATCTCGATATATAATACCACGTTCATGGAGGAAATTTAATGCAATGCAAATTTCAGCTGCATAGAATCGTGCATAATCTTCTGCTAAACGAAGATTACGTTGCATATAAAACATTAGATCTCCACCGTTGACAAATTCAATGACAAAGAATAATCTATTGTTTATAAGTTAGTATTTAAAAAAAATAAAAATAAATAAAGTATTACGCAAAAACTGCATTACTGATTAATTATTTATGCTAAAAACAATAATCATTATCTGAGAGAGTAGCAAAACACAGTTTAGAGTCCTCCAAGGGTTCCTGACAGTTCAGAACCCGGTTGAGTGAGGAAAAGGATTGAGCATAGGATTAGCATACCCGTCCCATAAAAAAGGACGCTGCTAAAAAACACTAACCGGCGAAAATGACAAGGCAATTGATTACAGGAATGTGATAAAAACGTCTTCACCAAGTAGGACTATGTCATAGGCACATTCGCTTATCGACTTAGAATATGCTGATGACATAGTCCTACTTGGTGAAGACGCTGACAAAGTGCAGTCTTCTGACTACCATAAGCAACAATGCAAGCATGTTCGGGATGCGGTTCTCACCCTCCAAATGCAAAATGTTGCTTCAAGATTAGCTTGCATCAGCACCTGATCTAGTGATAGGGAGTGAAGTAGTCGAACGTATAGATCGTTTCACTTGTCTGGGGAGTCTCATCAGTGCTCATGGCCTGGTGACTGACGAAATCTCAGCACGGATACAGAAAGCTCGATTGGCTTTTGCCAACTTGCATCACCTATGATATAGACCAGATATCCGTTTGCTGACCAAACGACGAGTGTACTGTGCAGTAGTTCGCTCCGTCCTACTTTGTGGCTGCGAAGCATGGCCAGTGAGAGTAGAAGATATTCGTAGGTTACTTGTTTTCGATCATAGGTGCCTCCGAAGAATTCCTTGTATATCCTTCGACAACCGAGTGAGCAATTCTGTTATTAGGAAACAGGTCCTAGGTAGGGATGGTAGATCAACAGATGAAATATTGAAACTTCATTATTTAAGGTGGTTGGGACATGTGTTGAGTATGCCTAACCACCGACTGCCTCATCGAGTTTTGTTTTGCGATGTAGGAGTAGGTTCGAAAAAAGCTAAGGGTGGTCAAACCGAAACATGGCACAAATCCATGAAGTCATTGACAAGTGGACTGAGTCATGTTGGTAGATGTAGGCTACCTGGTTGGGGTCCGCGAGATGATAATAATCGATGGTTAAAGACCTTGAACGACATGGCTCAGAATCGTTTACAATGGCGCAGATGCATCCACTCTTTGTGTTCTCTCTAATTTTGACCTTATGAATTCCTCATCATGTTTACCTTTCTCCTTCTAAATTTATCTTACTAAATTACGCTACTCGAATCATATCATATCTTCGCTCTCTAATGTTCTCCATTACTGCTAATACTTTTATTATTGCTATCACTCTTGGATTTGAACTGACAGTTGCGTCTCTGTGCTGATGGGGCATGGCAACCTGAACTGATGTACTTACGTACAAAGTTTTGCGTTGTATCTGTCTGTCTGTCTAATAAAAACGTCTACTAAAGAAGTAGGTTATCTAACCAACCAATCGATGATTTGAATATCGTTTTTTGCCATATCTAAAACTCTGAGCCACAGTTTTGTATGCAACAGTGTACATGGCCGGTATAAATTCCTATTTAATAGGGTTTTCGTTTAAATTAAAAGCCTACAGAAGTAAACACAGTTGGTTTCACACATAATTTATGCTTTAGTATTTCCAATAAATTTACACATATAACAACTTTCAACTAAAATTCTTGGATAAACTGATCAACGAATAAACATAACCATTAGTGGTAACACATATAGGAAAAGACCTGGATAATAGTCGAATTAAATGTTAACGATCGATAATGAGACTACAAATTTTTTATTGTGAATAACATTTATTTATTATTATCAAGAAAACTATTGATAGTTTTATGTTTGGTTTTTTGATTACTGATAAATAAGCGTTAATTTTCCACATATACTGACATGTACTAGAAAAATCACTTTTTCAAATGATCAAGATGATTCTACAATAGATATTTTGAATAATATTACTCACTGACAACACAGTTACAGCTATTAACATAGAGTCAATTGAATAGGAACTGATGTTCTGTAGAACTTAACCTAATGAACTGAATAGTTGTCGTTCTCATCTCGTTGCTAAATAGATTATATTACATTAAGTCAATGTTTATCAGTCTATAAATTTGTGACAACTTATTGCTGTACCACTGACGTTGATAATTAACAATTTCACTTGAACTGAGTAATTTTAGAGTCTTTTTACTAAAACTTCGAAAGAATCTATCTTGAAACAAGCTATTAGTAAGTAAATGTATTATCATGAAATCTGTGAAAAAATACTTACTTACTTACTTACGCCTGTCACCCCCAATGGAGCATAGGCCGCCCAACAGTTTTCTCCAACCAACTCTGTCCTGGGCTTCTCTCTCCAGTTCTGTCCAATGTTTGTTCATTCCCCTCATATCTTTCTTATTTCTCGGCGTAATGTATTCTTTGGCCTTCCTCTTTTCCTTTTGCCTTGAGGGTTCCATATGAGGGCTTGTCTCGTGACGCAGTTAGGTGCTTTTCGCAATGTGTATCCTATCCACTTCCACCGCTTCTTCCTGATTTCCTCATCCACTGGAATCTGGTTTGTTCTCTCCCACAGTAAGTTGTTGCTGATGGTGTCTGGCCAACGAATCCGAAGTATTTTGCGTAGACAACTGTTAATAAACACTTGTATCTTCTGGATGATGGCTTTCGTAGTTCTCCATGTTTCCGCTCCATACAGTAGAACTGTCTTGACATTTGTATTGAAAATCCTGATTTTGTTGTTGATTGATATTTGTTTGGAGTTCCAGATATTTTTCAATTGTAGAAATGCAGCCCTAGCTTTGCCAATCCGCGCCCTCACATCTGCATCCGATCCACCTTGGTTGTCGATGATGCTGCCCAGATATGTAAAGGTGTTATTGTCCTCCAAGGCATCTCCATCAAGAGTGATTTTGTTGGTGCATGTTGTGTTGCATCGGAGAATTTCGCTTTTCCCTTTATGTATGTTGAGACCTACTGCTGCAGAGACTGCTGCTACACTGGTCGTCTTCTCTTGCATTTGTTGTTGCGTGTGCCATAGAAGAGCCAGGTGATCTGCGAAGTCCAGATCTTCCAGTTGCGTCCTAACTGTCCAGTTGATACCGTGCTTCCCTCCACACGTCGACGTCTTCATAATCCAGTCGATGACCAGGAGAAAGAGAAAGGGTGAGAGTAAGCAACCTTGCCTCACACCGGTCTTCACCTCGAAAGAGTCTGTCAGCTGACCTCCGTGCACGATTTTGCAGTTGAATCCATCATAAGAATTCCGTATGATGTTAACTATTTTCTCAGGCACACCGTAGTGTCGAAGAAGCCTCCACAGTGTTTTCCTGTCCACGCTATCGAATGCTTTCTCGTAGTCGATGAAGTTGATGTAGAGTGGTGAGTTCCATTCAATTGATTGTTCCACAATGATCCGTAATGTAGCAATTTGGTCAGTACATGATCGATCCTTACGAAATCCGGCCTGTTGATCTCGAAGTTGGGCGTCTACGAAGTCCTTCATTCTGTTTAACAATACTCTGTTGAAGACTTTGCCTGGTATTGAAAGAAGAGTGATGCCTGTGTAGTTCTCACACTTGCTGAGATCGCCTTTCTTCGGTATTTTGATCAGGTATCCTTCTTTCCAATCTGATGGTACTTGTTCCTCATCCCAAATCTTCTTGAAGAGGATGTGAAATATTTTCGCCGTCATTGCTAGATCTTCCACATATTTTCGTTTGTCAGCTCTGATGCTCTTCTTCACTTCCCTGTTTGCTTCTGTGTATGCAGCTTGTGCGGTAATTTTCTCTGCTCTTGTTCGGCTGACATTCACTGCTGCCTTCTTGTTCCTCCTTTCTTCAATTTTTGCAAGAGTATCAACAGAGATCCATTCCTTGTGATGGTACTTCTTGTGACCCAGAACTTCGTGACATGTTGAAGTGAATGCCTCCTTAATCCCTTTCCAATTGTTCTCCAAAGTTGCGTCCTCTCCATTGAGTATATCGTGCAAGGCCTGGAACCTATTGGTGAGGGCAATCTTGAATTCATTGAGCTTTACAGTATCCCGAAGAAAGGCTGTATTAAACTTGTGCGATGTTGTCTGCCCCGTTTTCTAGTGCTTCTTTAGTTTCAGTTTCATTTTGGCGATTAGCAAATGGTGATCTGAGGCTAAATCAGCTCCTCTCCTGGTTCTCACATCCTCCACAGTCCTTCTGAACGTTTTGTTGATACAGATATGATCAATCTGGTTTTGAGTAGTGTGATCCGGTGAAATCCATGTAGCTTTGTGTATGCGTTTGTGCGGGAATATTGTGCCACCGATGACCAGTTTGTTGAAGGCACATAGGTTTGCAAATCTCTCACCATTTTCGTTTCTTTCTCCCAGTCCATGTCGTCCCATGATGTCTTCATATCCAGTGTTGTCCATGCCAACCTTGGCATTCAGGTCTCTCATAAGAATCGTCAAATCCTTTGGTGAACATTTCTCGACGATTGACTGCAGCCTTTCGTAGAATTGATCTTTAACGTCGTCATTGTAGTCAGTGGTAGGTGCATAACATTGGATGACGTTCATTGTAATGTCCTGTTTCTTTGTTTTGAAGGATGCTTTAATGATCCTGGGTCCATGAGATTCCCATCCTATCAGTGCCTTTTGTGCATGTTTGGACAGCATCAGTGCAACTCCTTGTGTATGTGAAGCATTTTCCTCTTCATGACCAGAGTATAACAGCAGTTCCCCTGAAGCTAGTCTCAGTTGTCCTACTTGTGTCCAATGCGTTTCACTGATGCCGAGCACCTCGAGGTTGTATCTTTTCATTTCTGCAGCAACTTGAAATAGTCTTCCAGTCTCCCACAATGTACGAACGTTCCATGTACCTAAAAGAATGGTTGCTCTGGTTGTCAGAAGAGGCATCGGCCCCGTGACTTCCGAGGGAACCCGGCTTTCATCACGCGACGTCATAATTCTTCCTCCAACTCCCAGGGCAGAGTTAAAATGGTTTGAATTATTTCTTCTGGTTAGCGTTTTTTTGGCAAGTTAGTTTTTGACGGAATGGGGTCGCCAACCCCATGTCCAACCCTCCTCCTTTACCCGGGCTTGGGACCGGCAGTAGCCCCGAAGGTTCTACTGGCGGAGTTCTGTGAAAAAATACTGATTATAAATGAATACTGAATCGTTAGCATATACAACACATGTAACTGTAATACACAAATATGATGCGTATCATATCAGTAATCAAATAAAAGCTTTCACTTCATACGATTACAAAATATGAATTGATTTATGACGATTAGTACAAAAGCACTTCATTGAGATTATGATTAATATTGTTATTTTGTTAAGTTATTTCGTGACCTATAAAGACTTTTTAAAATGTAATAACCACATTACTCAGTATTGTTGTAATAATTGGCATAAATAAGTAAAAAATGCAGTCATTATCAGCTGACTTCGCTGTTGTCTATAAATATATCATGGAATAAGATAAAATCAAAAACTCAGAACTGATCAATATTGAAATGGTGCAAATCAATATTTTATTTATCCATGTTGAATAACCATTATACAGTTGAGTGACAAGTGAATTGATCAAGTTAGACATTAACACCGTTAGATACCCGCTCAGTAGTCCAGAGGTTAGATGTTCGCGTACAATACTCAAGGTCCTGGGTTCGAATCCTGCGGGGTGCAAGAGTCGTTGATGCGCACTGCTGATGAGTCCCATACCAGGACGAAACGGCCGTCAAGTGCTTCCAGGTTTCTAATGGTGGTCTAACATTGATCGATTCATGGTTTCAAAAATGTGTAAACGTCTCATTACAAAATATTGATACTATTGTAAAGAACGAGAACACAGGTGGGGCAATCGGATTGTATTTATCGAAAATTACAGTCACTCAGTAAAATTGGAAAACCATATCGTAAATCGTTCATTTGCAAAATATCAGTCCATCCTATCGAACTGGACTGTTTTTGTTGCAAAACATCAATCCATTGTCACTGTTCATGCGTTTCATACAAATTCCGTTGTGGTCCCACTCTTCCTTTCTTGATCTTCCCCCATCTTCTGCTGCCAGACATTATGTTGACACTCACGTCATATACTACTTATAAGTAGCTCACACCACACTATGATTATATATATAAGGCAATGTGTTGTCTAAATCAATTAAGTGGAGTGGACAATACCCTTAGGTACTGTGTGTGACAAGATTTTTGACACGAATAGTTAATCGTTGACAGGTGCTACTGCAAACAATAATACAACTCAGTAACCAGGTAGCGGTTGGCATACTTCATTGTGAGCAACAATATCGTAACAAAAGGACTGGTGATATTATTTGCCTGTTAAAAAGCTGAAATGGGTAATACCAGACTCGAATATACAACTGCATATAAACACAATGCATTTAATGTAGTCTGCAAAAATACATTGTTTAGTCGATTTCCACACAACAACTGCTACTTTGACATGTTAATGTACGAACTCATAAATGAGTTAAGGAGTCATAAAGTACAATACAACTACATGTATTGAATATTTTTTTCTAAATTACGAGTTCATATAACTTTATATTTCAGAAAGTGGAGGTATCCACTAAAACAGCTCATATCTATCTTACCATAGACAAGAATAATATAGTCCTGAATATTAGCAACTGGAAAATACAAACCTTGACAATTAATATTGATGAAATGTACTTTTGGATAGCTTTCTCTGTAAAAACATACTGCATTTATATAGTCATATTATTCTATGAAGTTACGAAATACAAGTTGTATCGATTACATTATTTGAAGAAACTTACCGACTTCTGGTTTGGAAACACGAGTGTAAGCCCACTAAGAAAGGATGGTTAGTAGCGCATTCAAATACATGTTTTTCAGTTTGTACCCAATCAATATCCTAGTATTAGAAGTGTTAGAAAAAAAGAGTTTTACATATACTGACGTATACTGACTACATGCTTTATAACTAATTTCCTAAGAGGATGATAAAAAGCTTGTTTTCCGTGATATTCAAGTAATCACTTGATGACCAAATATCGAATTTTTCTATCTGATTATAAATTGATTGAAAAGAGGTAATTCATAAGCGATGTATTGTTGCTTATTAAATTTATAATAGTCCATTATGTTCATTATAATTGATTTGGATACGTTAAACCTTTAATCATGTTGCCATTTTTAGTACCCTCCAATAAGAGCGATTCGCGTCAAAAAGGAAAAGTTATTAGTGTAATGCTATAATTCGACCAGCATAATAAAAGACTGAATATCATTTATTCCGAAAAACAAAACAGAAACTTAATGTAATAGAGATCAAAGTGTTATTGACATTTATAATGCAGTTTAGTCTGTGTAAATAACTGAATACAAGTGATATGCTCATCCATTTGAAGTCACTAGTAACCATCTGTTCTCAGTTATCCTTAGACGCCTTACTAGACCTCGTGAAGAGCAGGCTAAAGAAAACCAAGCTGGTTTTTGACCTGGACGTGGACGTATAAAATACATGTTCACACTACGTCAGGTCCTAGAACAAAGACACTCTCTCAGACGCCCCACAATAGTAGTATTTCTCGACCTTAAAGCTCCATTCGACTCCGATGATCGTCAGGCTGTGTGGCAGTGTCCGTCATTGTGCTAAAGAACTACACTAACCTTATACAAGCTCTCTAATCGAACACCAATGGTCGGGTGAGAGCTTATGGCGAACTGTCATCGGAATTAGTTACTTCAAGTGGTGTCCATCAGGACTGTACACTCTCTCCATTCCTGTTTAACTTAGTCTTAAACTTGCTTTCAAAGTTAACTGTATCTTTGTGTGACTTTTCAGGAGTGGACCTTTGCCAGGAGACATGCTTGCTCACTTAGAATATGCTGATGACATAGTCCTACTTGGTGAAGACGCTGACAAAGTGCAGTCTTCTGACTACCATAAGCAACAATGCAAGCATGTTCGGGATGCGGTTCTCACCCTCCAAATGCAAAATGTTGCTTCAAGATTAGCTTGCATCAGCACCTGATCTAGTGATAGGGAGTGAAGTAGTCGAACGTATAGATCGTTTCACTTGTCTGGGGAGTCTCATCAGTGCTCATGGCCTGGTGACTGACGAAATCTCAGCACGGATACAGAAAGCTCGATTGGCTTTTGCCAACTTGCATCACCTATGATATAGACCAGATATCCGTTTGCTGACCAAACGACGAGTGTACTGTGCAGTAGTTCGCTCCGTCCTACTTTGTGGCTGCGAAGCATGGCCAGTGAGAGTAGAAGATATTCGTAGGTTACTTGTTTTCGATCATAGGTGCCTCCGAAGAATTCCTTGTATATCCTTCGACAACCGAGTGAGCAATTCTGTTATTAGGAAACAGGTCCTAGGTAGGGATGGTAGATCAACAGATGAAATATTGAAACTTCATTATTTAAGGTGGTTGGGACATGTGTTGAGTATGCCTAACCACCGACTGCCTCATCGAGTTTTGTTTTGCGATGTAGGAGTAGGTTCGAAAAAAGCTAAGGGTGGTCAAACCGAAACATGGCACAAATCCATGAAGTCACTGACAAGTGGACTGAGTCATGTTGATAGATGTCAACTACCTGGTTGGGGACCGCGAGATGATGGCTCGAAATCGTTTGCAATGGCGCAGGTGCATCCACTCTTTGAGCTCTCTCAAATCCTCAATCAATCAATAGCAACGTATAACCTCCTACGTACGTACATCATTTCATGTTGCCATACCACGTTAGCACAGAGAGGTAATTGTCAATTCAAATCCAATAGTAGTAGAGGTTGCAGAGGTATCAACATTATTCGCAGAGGTTAGGATTAGAACATATTATTCCAGAAGTAGAAACTAGTGAAAGAAACTTAAAAAGATAAAGTGATGAGAAATAAAAAAGTTTGCGATTTGAGAGAACACAAAGAACGAATGTACCTGCGCCATTGCGAACAGTTTTGAGCCATGTTATTCAGAGTCTCTAACCGTAGATTACTAACATCTCGTGGACCCCAACCAGGAAGTCGACATCTGCCGACATGACTCAGTCCACTTGTCAGTGACTTCATGGATTTCTGCCATGTTTTGGTCTGGCCGACTCTAGCTTTCTTCCAACCTATTCCTACATCGCAAAACAAAACTCGATGAGGCAGTCGGTGGTTAGGCATCAGTAATACATGTCCCAATCACCTCAACTGATGAATTTTCACTCAAATCCTAATCCTCTAGATTCCTTATCACCTTTATCTTTCTATTTTCAAGTTTATTTCACTAGATTATACCTCTTGAATGATATGTTCCAACTCTAATCTCTCCGATTGCTGCTCATACTTCTATTACCTCTACTACTATGGGATTTGCATCGACAATTGCGTCTCTGTGCTACTGTGTTACGGCAACCTGAACTGATTGATATACGTACGTACGAGGTTCTACGTTGTAGCTTACTGACTGAAGACTTATTAAGATTATTATCTTTGCATTTTTTTCACTAGCATTTGTACTGAATAATACTTAATAAAGTCATTTTCAAAAGCATTATTAGTGATTTTTTATTAACGTCCTCCTATTCTAATAAATCGTAATTTTCATTACTCTTTGAATTTATCGACTTTTATCAACCAAAAATTCTCCATTAGATTGTCGACTTGTGTTACTTTTGCAGGTGGCACCATCGCTAAAGTACTAATGATTACTGATACATCTTTTTGAAAAGATTGTCTATATGTATGCATAAAGCTTAAATATTGATAATCTTTTTTCCAATGAACGACAGGCTAACAGACAGAACTTTAAAAACACATGCGTTGCTTTGAAATTAACATGATTCTAAGCAGCAGAAAAAACGAACAAAAAACTCGTCAAAATGAGATTTTAAAATAAATTAGTGAAGGAAACTATATGAGTAGTAATAAAATGTCTGTAATTTAGAAAGTGAAAATAGAATGTATCTGGACTACAGTAATGATTTTTGAGTCGTTACACTCTTAAAGTCAACCTTTTATTATCTTAGTGAAAAGCGGAAAATAACGAAGCAGTTGAGCTTGAAGGTTGATGTTATGTTTAGTGCTTTATTTATATGTACAATGTCAGTAAAAAAAGTGAGTTACAGGAATACTGTGATAGACAATAATGAATCTAGAAAAATATAAAGTGATGAGAGTTGATTTCTGTCTACTTTATATACATATAAACAGTAATTAATGAACCTATAAAGTTATGGATTTGATGTGAATAAGTGAAAATTGGGATTGAATTCCAAATCACTAAGAAACGTATATTCAATGAATATTTGATGTATATTTCAAAACTAAATTTATGTTTGGTGATTTCAGTCCTATATATATATATATATATATATATATATATATATATATATATGTTAAAAGAATATGTAAAACCGTTAGACCAAAAGACTTTATTAAATTAATGAAAAAGTAAATGAAAGTTACCTCTTCATCAAGAATAGTTTCCTTTTTAATAACTTTCATGGCATATATTCGATTAGTTGGTTTATGCTCCACTTGAAATACTTTAGCATAACTACCACGACCAATCACTTTGAGTAAATTAAAATCATGTAGACCAATTCGTCCAGAAGTGACTGGAATGTCAGGAATATCTGAGATACGTTGTTCTATAATAGGTATGGATTTATCGCCAACTTTATCAGTGATGATAGTTACGGGAACAGGTAAAACACTGCTTTTTTCAATTATTAAGTTGTCCGAGCCTGACTTCACCTAAATTTTGAGAATATATAAAAACAAACAGTTGTTAGAAACATTACCGCATATAGAATATTTTGAGTAAGCGCGATTTAGTTTACCAAATCGCTTTATACTGAAACCCTTATCCATCAAAGAATATAGTAACTGCATGCATGATCTATATAGTGAATAGTAAAATAATTAGAACAGTACAGCCTGCACACAGAAAGAGATACTTTGATTGATTCTGAGCGACAAATATTGTGTATGATTTTACTGTACTTTACTTTAGCCGATACTGCCCCTGCAAGAGTTATGCCCCCACTATTATGATCAATAGGTTTGGCAAACAAGCAATTTTAAGTTAAAAGTAAATATTATTTTATCATGACAAGTACATTGGTGTGATATGTGCAAAAGAGCATGTATTTAAAAAATCTTGAATGAAAATACTTACAGTGTTTTTTAAATTGGATGGTAGTGGAAATTGTTTGTCTGATGTTTCTGAAAAAGAATAAGATGAAGCCACATCTAAGCATGATATATATATATATATATATATATATATATATATATTAATGATCCGTCTTTGGATTTTGTGACAGTGGCATTGGAGAATAAACCTACTATCCTGAAGTTTGAATTACTCACTATTTGCTGACAGTTCTAATAGGACTTACATACCGTGCCTTCAATTACTAACAAATTTATGATAGTTGTCGTTAAATTGAAGAGAGGGAGAGGAGTAGACTATGATACAAGTTTGGCGACGTGATGGTGCTGCAGCATTAGCGAATATTTAAGTGCTTAGTTTCTAGCTGTGGTTCACCACATGTTCGTTATCTACGATTGGAAACTCTAAATGATACGGCCAAAAATCAGACATAATCAAATGAACGTTTTCATTCTTTATCGCCCTTTAAATCATGAGTTGTAACAGCACTGCACACATTTTAACATTGTATTCCCTATACTTAGTCTTTTACTATTATTGGCGTTACTTTTATTTCAGTCCAATTAAAGTCCATTTTGTTAACTATTTTGTCATGTTGTCTCGATGCGAAGTATGAGCACTGAGATCAAAGCATATTTATGTTAGTTGGTTACGATATAACTGGTCTTGAAGTTGATTTCACGTGTGCACGTAGGTGCGCATTAATGGATCTTGAATCACGATGAGTTATTTACCATAAACTTATTGCACCCTCATGAAACTGATGTCGATATGTGAAAATAATTTTCAAAATCCAAGACTTACGATTTGATTCTCTTTCATTTAAACTAATGACTTTTTCTAGCTTTAGTGACTTTGATTCATCTTTATATGGCTGAATATTAACAGGAAGACGAGATGGAAGTGTATGAGTTGTTCCAGAAGATAAGTCGGTTACTATAGTTGTAGTTCTGTTTCCATCATTATCCCACACAGCTGGGGTGGAACCGGTAGGAAATGTAGATATTGGACGCATATTCTGGTAGGTTGGCCTGATAAATGCTTCACCACATTTATGACGCACTCCACCTTGACAACGACGATGAAGTAGGAGACGACAATTAATACATTTGAACCCTTGTTGTCCCAAACCCCATATACGCTCTTTACAGTAAGCACATACAGCATTCTAAAATAAATAAGTAGTGAAAGATATATATTTATAGAACAGTTCCTGAATTTATAATATCTGCTGAGTGAACAAGAGGAATTCATCTTTTAGTAAGTCAAGGTGTTTCTACTACCGACTGAACATAAATAATTTTAGTGGATTTCTCTTATAAAATAATTTTTTGATAGAAAAACTTACAGAAGAGTAATACACTAAATGGATAGATACAAATGTCATCATCATTCAAAGCGACTCCTGAGGAAAGAACTTCACCTATTTGGATGGTTCGCGGTTTAGACACGCGGGCAGTATCAGAACTTAAGCACAATTTCAATGATGTGTGTGGCGCATATGTCTTGATGCTCCTTTGTACCAATGTTCATTTGTTTAAATAAATAAATATTTGATAATATTATGAAGGATTTTTTTGAAGGAACAGAGTGTGGATTTGTTAAAATAAATGAAAGTTATACGGATAGATAAGTCAAAAGCAACAATACGATGCAGCCAGGTGATAGCTACTTACGAGACCGAATCATGAACTCAACTTCTCAGTTGACAAAAAATCTCTGGATACGAGATTGATTTTCAAAGGGCTAGGACCAAACGGAACTACTTTTATCAATTGACCTAATATTTTCGGATGTTATTACGATTAAAAACAATGAACTGCGTTAGTTGGAATGACGATGCCCTAGGAATCTTTAGATATATGTGTAAATTTGAATAAGTTCAGCATAATCAGTAAGACAATTGTAGAATTTTTAATTAGGCATTAGTTAAAACGGAAATATCCTCACGGAAAGAAAATTTATTCAGCCATAGCTTAGACCCTTGAACAAATACATGCACTGGCCCAAGATGCCATACCGCATTAGCGTAGAGAGATCAAATTAACAAGACGAACCCCAAAGGAGTTGAAAGAATAGTTGTATTAATGAAAGGTAAAATGATAGCATACTGAGATTATGGTTTCGAAAGGTATATTATATGAAGGAATATTGAGGATGAAGAATTGATAAATCTAATTTAGCACAACCCACTCTGAGCGATGTTATAATTGATTCATAATTAATAAAAAGCAATCTAAAGAAATACTAGTGAATTTACCCGGTTAAACCGTCTGGCAGCAAATTGATGACCATGTAATAAATAAAATTTCTTTTTCCATCGTTTAGCACCTCTTCGGTACATATTAACTGACAAATATAAAATAAAAGAGTAGTGAACAAGTCAAAAGTCAACAACAGATTTAGTTTGCAACTTTATACCAACAAATTACAAAACCTATCAATGAAAAATCTCAATCCAATTAGAAATGATATAAGTAAAACTTATAACAGCATACAAACCAATATATTAGACTATTAACTTAACTATTGCTTAAATATCTAAATCTTAATACATTAAACAGGAATCAGACTCCTGGTCTAAAGATTGAAAACCATGTACCTAAACCCTTGCTATCATTAGCAATAATATTTGCACTGTTAAATAAAGTTGATACTTGAAAGCATACGCATCTAATCAAGCAATATTAATTGCTTTTACGATCGTACTACTGGAGACTTATGTAAATTCGTGAAAGCTATATCCGGAAAAATCGATGTATAGAAATTATCAACTGAATGTCAACTATTTTTTGCAAATTGTAAAATTTAGTGTTTAATATTTTATGTTTCTTATTCTGTATTATTAATGAAAGTATTCTGTCATTGCATAATGGTAATTTCCCCCAAAGAGATCTACTGAATTTTGCATAATATGTTAAGATATCGTAGGAAGGTGCCATAAAATCGTGAGTTTTAACCTAGTTTAATATTAGCCGAGGAACTTTTTAAGTGGGGAATTTCGGTAAGTAATTCTGTCGTTTTAAAAGACATTTAAAATCTGATATGAAATTGAATTTACATTGTCAAAAGTTCAATCAATCACCGAAGCTAATTTCAGGAAATTATATTTTACTTTTTAACTAACAGTTTTCATGATTCATGCTACTCTTCTTAGATCATGAAGGTGACTTTATTTGTACATTAAGCCAATTACCGATAAGCATTAAGAAGTTTATATTGATAAGATTTTCGTAAACTCGAGGGTAATTTTAAGTGTTTGCGATTAAAATTCTCTTACCATGAAAATCCCTATCAAATTTACCTAAAATCCTGATTGTATTGATGGGAAATGTGAAAATTCAAGACATTTTAGCAGAAGTAAGGTAAAATTTTAATGTTAGCATGTGTGAACAATTTAAGATAAAATTAAATTTGCGTTCATAATTGTAGTGATGAATTAAAAAAGTTATGCTATAAAAAAATTTTCACATCTTTCTTATTTATTCTCTGAAGAAGTGGCTTACAGTGAGCCACAAACGTCAGAAAACTTAACCTTACTAATCATTGAAGTACTATATACGTATTATCATTTTTATCAGTACTTCCCTAAATGTTTTAATAGGCAAAATAGACTTTACACTTTTCGTTGTGTAAGCTACAGCCATTCGCCACGTTTAAGTTCGTAATTCTTTATGGCTTAGATAATTAGAAGCCATCAATTCTCCTAAAAACTTGCTCAACTAAAAATTGAAGGATAACGGAACATGACAGTCTTATTCAGTAATACTGAAGTAAAAGATTATGGTTATAGACACAGAACATAAGCGCAAGCATTTCTGTGAGAGAAAATAAAAGATTTACAGAAAAACACTACTTTTCTTAAAAACAATTAGTTTGAAAAGTAAACGCCTGCATAATATGAAGTTAATAATGAAAGCACTTACTATCTTCCCCAGGACAAGGTTTACCCGGTTCACTCGGTACTCCATCAAATACTAAAACAAAGTGGATGGGGAATCAATGAAGCTTTATCGTAAAGCTAGGGTTAGACAAGGTAAACTTTATAAATGGTTTACGTACAAACAATCCTATAACATATTGGTCTTGCTGGTGTATCTATAGCATTGAGTCGTAGGGCAGAACTAGCGCTCCTAGACTGGATCCCAGTAGATAGTCGTTTATGCGCTGTCCGACTGAACCGGACAGTAAGGACTCGGAAAGACAGGGAGACCCGTCGTTGCCTCTTTGTCGCATCTGCCTATGCCCCACTGACTGCAATTCATAGGAGGCGAAAGATGAGTTTTAAGGAAAGCTTCCGGACCTCCTTCAAAACGTCAGGCGCTCTGATGTAGTACTAATGGCTGGTGACTTTAATGCTCAAGTAGGTAGACTAAGTGAGCAGGAAAGACACCTGTGTGGATCTTATAAGTGTTGCAACTCAGAGAACAGACAATGGCGACCGTCCGCTACAAGTATGCTCAAATAACCAACTATTTCTAGCAAACACTAACTTTAGGCACAAGGTAAAACATCTTTTGACCTGGCGACCCCCAAAGTCATCTCAACATTGTACCCAACTAGATCACATCGCCATCAGCCACCGATGGAGGGGTTCGATAGAAGACTGTCGCTCGTTCTGAGGCACAAGTTTAGATTCAGATCACGCCCGGTTGAGAGAGCGTATTTGTTTGCGTCTTAGGAAAGATACCACAAGAAAACCTTTTAGGGTTCCACTTAATGATAGAACAGCTGAGAATATATTTCATTTCAACTGGCCTTTAGCCACATTTCGGTTGCTCATGATCTCCATCCAACCTGAATGGCAGGTCAATATAAATTCTCCGTGTCTTTATGAACTCAAAAAAGCCATACGAAATGTGAAGCGAGGGAGAGCAGCAGGGCCTGACAGTCTTACCCCTGAGATTTTTAAGGATAGTGGGCGTTTTACCAGCTAGATTGACCGACATCTTACATAGAATCTGGGAACTGGACGTAATCCCATCAGACTGGTCTCAATTCCTGATTGCCCCAATTTATAAGAAAGGACAAAAGTCCTCTTGTGAAAATCACATAGGAAAAATTTTAGCTATTATAGTATCGAAAATATTGGCCTCAATAATACTCCAACGCTTAACGGAAGCTAGTGAAGAGCAGACTAGAGAGAACCAAGCTGGTTTTTGACCTGGACGTGGACGTATAAAATACATGTTCACACTACGTCAGGTCCTAGAACAAAGACACTCTCTCAGACGCCCCACAATAGTAGTATTTCTCGACCTTAAAGCTCCATTCGACTCCATTGATCGTCAGGCTCTGTGGCAGTGTCTGTCATTGTGCTAAAGAACTACACAAACCTTATACAAGTTCTCTAATCGAACACCAATGGTAAGGTGAGAGCTTATGGCGAACTGTCATCGGAATTAGTTACTTCAAGTGGTGTCCATCACAGCTGTCCACTCTCTCCATTCCTGTTTAACTTAGTCTTAAACTTGCTTTCAAAGTTAACTTTATCTTTGTGTGACTTTTCAGGAGTGGACCTTTGCCAGGAGACATGCTTGCTCACTTAGAGTATGCTGATGACATAGTTCTATTCGGTGAAGATGCTGACAAAATGCAGAGTCTTTTAACTACCATAAGCGACAATGCAAGCATGTTCGGGATGCGGTTCTCACCCTCCAAATGCAAAATGTTGCTTCAAGATTAGCTTGCATCAGCACCTGATCTAGTGATAGGGAGTGAAGTAGTCGAACGTGTAGACCGCTTCACTTATCTATGGAGTCTCATCAGTGCCGATGGCTTGGTGACTGACGAAATCTCAGCACGGATACAGAAAGCTAGATTGACTTTTGCCAACTTGCATCACCTATAGCGTAGACCAGATTTCCGTTTGCTGACTAAAGGACGAGTATACTGTGCGGTAGTTCGCTCCGTCCTACTTTATGGTTGCGAAACATGACCAGTCAGTCAGATGCAACGTAGAACTTTGTACATAAGTACATCAGTTCATGTTGCCATACCACATCAGCACAGAGAAGTAATCGTCAATTCAAATCCAATAGTAGAAGAGGTAGTAAGGGAATTAGAAATAATCGGAGAGGTTAGGATTAGAAGATACTACTCAAGAAGTATGATTCAGTGAGAAAAGTTTAGAGAGTCGAAACTAGAGGGGTTGAAGAATCCAGAAGATTAGCATTTGAGAGAACACAGAGAATAAATGCACTGGCGCCATTGCGAACGATTTTGATCCATGTCATTCAAGGTCTCTAACCATCGATTATTATCATCTCGCGGACCCCAACCAGGTAGTCGACAATTACCGACATGGCTAAGTCCACTTGTCAGTGACTTCATGGATTTCTGCCATGTTTTGGTTTGGCCGCCCCTAACTTTCTTCCAACCTATTCCCACACTACAAAACAAGGCTCGACGAGGCAGCCGGTGGTTCGGCATACGCAACACATGTCCCAACCACCTCAACTGGTGAAGTTTCAATACTTCATCGATTGATCTGCCATTCTTACCTAGCACCCGATTCCTAATAACAGCGTTGCTCACTCGGCTGTCCCACGATATACGAGCAATGCTTCTTAAACATCTATGATCGAATACTAGTAACCTACGAACATCTTCTACTCTTAACGGCCATGTTTCACAGCCATAAAGTAAGACGGAGCGAACTACTGCGCAGTACACTCGTCCTTTAGTCAGCAAACGGATATCTCGCCTACGCCATAAGTGACGCAGGTTGGCAAAAGCCAATCGAGCCTTCTGTATCCGTGCTGAGATTTCGTCAGTCACCAGGCCATCGGCACTGATGAGACTCCCAAGATAAGTGAATCGGTCTACACGTTCGACTACTTCACTCCCTATCACTAGTTCAGGTGCCGATGCAACCCAGTCTTGAAGCAACATTTTGCATTTCGAGGGGGAAAACCGCATCCCGAACATGCTTGCATTGTTGCTTAGGGTAGTCAGAAGACTCTGCATTTTGTCAGCGTCTTCACCAAGTAGGACTATGTCATCGGCATATTCTAAGTCAATAAGCGAGCCACCTGGAAGAAGGTCTACTCCTGAAAATTCAGACGAGGATAATGTTAACTCTAGGAGCATGTCTATGATAAAATTAAACAAGAATGGAGAAAGTGGACATCCCTGACGGACACCACTTGATGTAGAGAATTCCGGTGACAGTTCGCCATAAGCCCTCACCCGACCAGTGGTGTTCGAGTAAAGAGCTTGTATAAGGTTAATGTACTTCTGTGGTACACCTTTCAATGACAGACACTGCCACAGAACCTTACGATCAACAGAGTCAAATGCCGCCTTAAGGTCTAGGAAAACAACTATTGTAGGACGCCTAAATGTGTGTCTATGTTCCAGGACCTGTCTGAGTGTGAAGACGTGGTCTATACAGCCACGTCCAGGTCGAAAACCAGCCTGGTTTTCTCGAGTCTGCTCTTCACGAGCTTTCGTTAAGCGTCGAAGTATTATTGAGGCCAATATTTTAGATACTATATTAGTTAGACTTATTCCTCTGTGATTGTCACAAGAAGACTTTTGTCCTTTCTTATAGATTGGGACAATCAAGGATTGAGACCAGTCAGATGGGATTACGTCCAGTTCCCAGATTTTACCTAAGATCTCAGTCAATCTAGCTGCTAAAACTGGACCACCATCCCTGAATATCTCAGGGGTCAGTCTATCAGGACCTGCAGCTCGTCCTTGTTTCAGATTTCCTAACGCTTTCTCAACGTCATTAAGACTAGGGGGACTTACGTCGATTTGCCATTCAGGATGACTGGAGATCGTGGGTAACTGAAGAGTGGCTCGTGGCCAGTTGAACTGATCCCTAAAGTGTTCTGCCCATCGATCCAGTCTCCTGGATTGAGAATGGATAATAAGACCATCCTTTTCCGAGATAGTCTCACTCACATTCGAGTTCTTAATACCGGTTTCTTTAATAAGGCGGAAAAGTTGTCTACTGTTGCCGATCGCCGCTGCCTTTTCCATCGCTTTTGCTTTCGCCACCCACCACTGTTCGCGGTCGTTACGTAGGCTTTTTATAAGTCTGCGCTTAAGTTGACTTCGTTCTTCATCATGTTCAGAGCCAGGTGGGATGAGTTTTCGGGCATCCATCAGATCGGTGGATGCTACTGAGATCCACGGTTTCATTCTAGCCTTATGGTCAACCTTACTAGCAGATATCACTGCTGTTTCCACAGCCTTTTTGATATCGTTCCATCCTGCTTCCGGATGGGAATCGCTTAATTGGTCGCCTAACTGTCTTTCTAGTTGTTCCTGAAATATATTTTTCTCCTTATTATCATTAAGTAAAACCCTAAGAGGCTTTCTTACGGTGTCTTTCCTACGTCCAGTAAGCCTTAAACAGATACGAGCTCGCACTAGAGCATGATCTGAATCCAAACATGTGCTCCAGAACGAGCGACAGTCTTCTATCGAACCCCTCCATCGGTGGCTGATGGCGATGTGATCTAGTTGAGTCCAACGTTGAGACGACTTTGGAGGTCGCCAGGTCAACAGATGCTTTTCCTTATGCCTAAAGTTGGTGTTTGCTAAGAATAGGCGGTTATCTGAGCACAGTTGCAACAGACGGTCGCCATTATCTGTTCTTTCAGTCGCTACACCATAACATCCACCTAGGTGTCTCTCATTTTCACTTAGTCTACCTACTTGAGCATTAAAGTCACCAGCCATTATTACTATATCAGAGCGCCTAGCTTTTTGGAGGAGGTCCGAAAGCTTTCTGTAAAACTCATCTTTAACCTCGTCTGCACTGCAGTCAGTGGGGGCATAGGCAGATATGACGAAGAGGCAACGGCGAGTGTCCCTATCTTTCCGAGTCCTTACTGTCCCGTTTAGTCGGACAGCGCACAAACGGCTATCTACTGGGATCCAGTCTAGGAGAGATAATTCTGCCCTAGGACTCAACGCTATGCCTACGCCAGCAAGACCCTTGGGAGCAGCATCAGGGCTACCGGATACCCGAAGAGTAAATCGAGCTGCTTCTTCGTTTTGACAAGGTGGAATCAGGTTAATGACTTTACTAGGATCCTGTATGCGCGTTTCCGAGACGCAGCATACATCGATGGCACGAGTTTCTAAAGTCCTAGCTAATGATGCCTGTTGCCCTATTTGACACAATGTCCGTACATTAAAGGCTCCAATATGTAGTCTAGAACGGGGTTTCAAGAGACCAGGAACGACGTTTCGTGATCTCGCTTCGTCTGCATTAGCGGTGCAGTGAGAAAAGGGAGTGTGAGTAGAGTTAGTTGTAGAGAGAAGAGAGGTATGCTTTGGTGTAGGAAGGATTTGATTTTGACCAATTTGGTCTCGCGTGCTGTTACGGGTATGAGGGCGGTTGTCACTTCCCGGCTGCCCACACCGTGGAAGGTTGTTTCTTGACGAACCTGAAAAGGAAGATGGATTAGTGTTGGTGCGTGACCGCAGAGCCCAAGGGACAACTGCTTGAGGCCGGTCACGCACGGCCTTTTTATGAAATATTTTTTGAGGATTAGCTCCGTTCTTAAAGGCCCTTAGTGGGCACCCTTACCCAAGGAGACGGAAATCCGTGAGTTAGGGGGAGTGTGACATTTTTAGGGCCGACCTTTTCTAACCCTTCCTTCCTTTTGAGAAGGCAGCATCGCTGCAGATGCTGGTTGTCCGAGGGAAACACCTTACTGCTGTCACACCCCTCTGCAGTCAGCAGTACGACTTCGCCCTCAGACCTTGGGTAGCTGCTTTTAGTCTCATCGTTCTCCAATCGACCAGCCTGGCATGGTAGGACCTGCAGGAACATATGTTCCAGCCAGTATAGCTCAGTTGAGTCATCACGATAGGCAAGCCCGACCACCACGTCAAGGTAGCAGCTTCGGTCGGGGAAACATGACCAGTAAGAGTAGAAGACATTCGTAAGTTATTAGTATTCGATTATATATGTCTAAGAAGCATTTCTTGTGTATCCTGGGACAGCCGAGTAGGCAATGCTGTCGTCAGGAAACGAATACTAGGCAGAGATGGCAGATCAATCAATGAAGTAGTCAAACATCATCAGTTGATTTGGTTGGGACAAGTGCTACGAATGCCCAATCACCGACTGCCTCGACGAGCAATGTTTCGTGGTGTAGGAGTAGGTTGGAAGCTAGGGGCGGCCAGACCAAAACATGGCACAAATCCATGAAGTCATTGACAAGTGGGCTGAGTCATCTTGGTAGATGTAGGCTACCTGGTTGGGGTCCGCGAGACGAAAGCCACCGATGGTTAGAGACCTTGAATGACATGGCTCAGAATCGTTTGCAACGGCGCAGATGCATCCACTCTTTTTGTTCTCTTCAATTCTAATCTTCAGAATTCATTATCTTTATCTTCCTCTTTCTAAAGTTATCTCACTGAACTACACCTCTTGAATAATATCTCCGATCCCTAATATTTTCCATTACCAGTAATTCTTCTGCTTTCCCCACCACTATGGGATTTGAACTGACGGTGGCGATCTGTGTTAATGCGGTATGGCAACTTGAACTGACGTATGTACGTACAAAGTTCTACGTTGTAACTTACTGACTGACTGAACGACCATTATATTGTAGGCCAAAAATAGCATGATAAATTTTGATATAAACAGATCAGAAGTTAACACAGTTAATAAATGCTTTTGGTTTTGAAAACCAGTCCGCATAAGGTTACTGAACTTCATTTTGCAATTCTGATACAAAACTTCAGTTTTATGGGGCTTGAAAAACCTGACAACACAGTTGACTAACTTTAGTAAAACCGTACTGCTAATTATTTCAATGGATAGTCACTTTTGCATCAATTAACAAAAATCAAAATAAGCGATAGCTTTTTTTTATGGATATAGACCAAGGATAACTATTTGATTCGACTGCCGTTAATTTTAATCCTTCAAAAAAGCAATCTACAGCTAAGATTAGTTATCCAAGATTTCTACAGTTGGGTTTATATGGTTTGTTTTGGAATAATAACTACAAGCAGGAATACGATATGATTCGAAGCAAAATAAAATTATATAAAATCTTACAAAATGTATTTGTACATTTAGCTGCCTTGAAGTGATTTAACAGTGTACACTCCAATATTTAGGGAGTAAAATCAATTGAATTTCAAGGCTTTTGTAGATATCAACTAAATCCTTAATGAACGATGAAAATAGTAACTACATGCTGATATACTTGAGCTTAAAGTTAGGAAAGAGACTAAATCAAGAAAACAAACCAAAAAAATGTTATACGCTATTCACGGAAAATCCTAATTTCAGTCAGTCAGCAATAACGTAGAACTTTACACAAGTTCAAGTTGCCATACGGCATTAGCACAGAGACGAAATTTTCAATCAAAATCCCAAAATGGTAGAGGAAGCAGAAGTATGAGCAGTTGTGGGAAATACTAGGGTTTGAAGATGCTATTCAAGGAGTATAATATAAAGAAATAAATTTAAGAAGAGAAAGATGGTCAGAATGAATTCAGGTTAGAATTTGGGAAAACATTAGGAGTGGATACACCTGCGCGATTTCAAACGATTTTGAGCCATGTCATTCAAGGTCTCTGACCATCGGTAACTACCATCTCGCGGACCCCAACTAGGTAGTCTACATTTATCAACATGACTTAGTCCGCTTGCCAGTGACTTCATGGATTTGTACCATGTTTTGACCTGGCACCTACCTTAAAAATTTAAAAATAATTAGCAGTTACTGAAGGAAAGGAAATATATTTGCGATTTCCTTCTGTATACATAGGTAGTATCATACACATTTAACAGTAATACGCTCCACAAAGCGAGGTTAGTTTGAGGTGCAACGTTTATCTATTGACCTAAAAGTCTTCCGAGGAATACTTCGAGAAAACCTCATGTGTTGAAAAAGCAATTCAGTAACTAGGTGCATAATTTTTCAATTAGTAATGAGCCATACTTCAGATGTGTCAGTGATAATACTCAGTAGCCTAAATTGAGGTAAATGGAGAAGGATTTAACTTCAAGAACAAGCAGTTGAAATTCCTATGATCAATCACTAAACTGCCGCGTCATCTCTGTCAAACAAGCTAACTCAGAATACAGTACACTAGAAACATGATGGATAAGGATAAAGCCTGTTTCGGTATTGAATTTACTGGTGTTTGATTCACGGAACATGCATCCTGAAATAGCCTTGTTAAATATCTGATTGTTTATTTCCGGACAATAATCTGCATGTGAATGTATTTTACTATAAAATAAACTTTTAAGTTAGTCACCTAATCTTTCAGTATCAGTTTACTTAGAGGCCTGCTGTGCTCGATGCTGATATAGAGACTCGAATCGACGTCTAGATGTATTAGGTTCCATGTTGAGTACGGCTGACTGCTCATTCGCTTTAACGATTTCATAAGCCTTATCACCAAACACTTAAAATGTGTGCGACATAATAAGCAACGCAACAGTGCCGATCATATTTATTGTTTTTAATGATAAGAAATGTTTGCCATTCGGACAAAATTGTGTCAACTATGGATACCGATTCTAAGTGGCCTGATGAAATGAGTCAATAAAACAGATGAAGATTAAAGTTTCAAGACACAAAAACTAGGTTTTTACCTCAGCTATCGAGCACAAAAGCAGCACAATTAGAGGGATAAGAGAAGGGACATATAACAGAGTAATTTCATTTCTGGTATATAACTTGAAACAAAGACGAACCGAATGGTATATGAAGTAAGAGGGAAGGTAATATTTTCCATATACGAAGTCTATAGACGGTTACTGTTTAAGCATTTTCGTTTGAATTTCCTCGATATTTTATGATCTAAAGACTACTGCTTGTCAATGCAAACGAGCGATTGTAAGAGATACGAAGAATATTTCCAAGCCAGTAAAAAAAATTTTTAATGATTTGGCGCTGACTGGGAATCCTATTCATAATCATGACGCTCGGCTTGTTGTTCCGTCACACGGATGGGATATTTTGATATCAGTGGGTTAGAAGATAGTGTTGACTACACTAACCATAAGAGTGTCTACCAGAACAGTAAAATTGTTGATATGCACATTGGTTTCTTAACCATCATGGACAACCAATGCGTCAGAAAAGCATAGATTTTGTGACTGTCAAATACGCGACTAGGCGTAAAACTTTACTAGGCAACACCTCGATCGCTAACTATTTGCTAAATCAGGCTCGTTTCAGATGCTTTAGTCGTAATTTCTCAGCGTAAATTTCAAAAGATGTCTACCTGATATCAGTAGGTTGCTAAAAACGTTTCAAGTAATTAGATATGCCTTGACAGTTGAAGTCGGCGATGATATAAAGTCAGAACAGCAACAAGAATGGTGTTTAAATAATTATACAATAAAATCTTACCGAAAATTGTTAGCTGCCACTCCTTATTAAGCTTGTGAAGTCGGAATGCCTCGTTTAGTTCCATATCGGAAGAAATAACTATGGGGTCTTGTTCCTCATCAATCCACTTTAATGTGAATGGTTGATCTGGGGCGAAACGACATAATTTCCGGACTTCATGGTCAATAACCTGAAGACTAGCTGACCACGGACAGCTCGTCACCATTGCAATGCTATAGAGAACAGGAGAATGATAATTTCAATTTAAACTTAAGGGTATTTAATACTTACGAATTATGTATAAACTTGATTCGGAGTGCATCTGGGCTTAGAGTGGACATTTATCTTAGAAATGGGAAAACCCCAAACAGTAACGCAGAATGTCAAAACCCCGGCCAGCCAAGTGGTCAGTTGAACTCCCAGATAATCTTTTCTTGTGATGAAATGACTGAATAATTGTTCCTCAGAATTTAAGTATGCAGAAATCGAATGACCTGATCCCCTCAAGATGGTCCTAGGATTGTAGGCACGAAAAAAATCTGTTAACTAACAGAGCAGAATGACATAAACATTCAGATTAAAGTTCTGCTAGACGAAAAAACCAGAAGAAAAACGGCTTCGTCTGAATCAATTATCTGGCGAACAGTTGGTAAGGGAGGCTTCAACGATGGATTTTTTTATCAGCCAGGTGTTGAAAGTCAGCGATATTTGTTTCTATGAGAACCAGTAGTTATCTTTAGGGTTTTCGTTCACTAATTCACGCGATCGAAAAGTAATTTCCATGAAATAAGGGTATCGACGAACAAAAAACAAAGTGGTTTTAACTATTGTTGGAAATTATTTCAGCACTTTGTCGTTTCATGATAACTAGTGGAAGCGAATGATGCGATTTCAAGAATGCCGATAGGCAGTGGTTACTCATATGCTCTGAGAATCTCAAAGATCTTTCAGGGAGCTGCATTCCACGTAGATCTCTGAATGCCAACGAAGTTTTGTTTTATTCGTTACCGGTCGGAGATTTTATCTTAGTTGTATGGTTCGTATAGTTCGTTTGTCTTGGAGATGTTTCCTGTGGCTCTCAGTATGTCAATGCTGATGTTGTCTTTACTCACATTTCTATCGGCTACATAATACTTAAGTTTTGAGGGTTGAACTTAACGGGTCACAAAGTACGAAAGCGTGTATTCTAAGTCGTAAGGCAGCTTGGACAAATACTTCATTTGCCTGAGGTCGAGTATAAACAGTCTTAACTGATCTCATTGACTTTTTAAGCGTAGGGGTTTAGATTTACGTCTGTTGGACGACATAAAAAATTCACGATTCCTCCCAGCAGCCGAAGTGCCGAGTTCGACAGTAGTTGCATCCATCATGGGCTGTCAGTGTATTTCGAGTTCCGAGTAACTCCAGCGGAAGAGTGTCAATCCACTGTGATAAGTTTGCAGCTGAAAGTGAAGCTCTCAAATAATTGTGAAGATGTTCTGCCATAACGTTAGCTTCCAATGGCAGGCAATCTTTTGTAATCGCGTGGTTCTTAGAAGTGTATTAAGATGAAGGAGAAGTTCAGATTCGAACTGACGTCCACGGTGTATTAACGGTTGAAGGGTAGTCGAAGTTCGCTACCTACCAACTGAAGTCTACCACTGTACCGGTAGTAATATCCTTGACAGCCGCTGCTTCTGGCCATAACATGAAACCATTCACACACATCGGGAGGCAAGAGTATCCCCATAAATTAGGTATCGGTCCTACTAAGTCAAAGTGAACGTCATTGAAGCGAGCACCAGATGTTGAGTAGGTACCTAAGGGATATTTGTGATGCTTGAATACAGTAGGTTTCTGGCAGCTTACACAGAAGCGTCCAGTAGCTTACGTCTTTTTTTATACCAGACCCGAAAAATCTTTCTGGTATCCGCTTGACGATTGCCCGGACATCTGAATGAGAAAGTTTGTGCAAGGTAATGAAGAGATTGCGTCAATGATGTACCAGCACTAATATAAACACATGTTTTGGCTTATAAAAATTATATTCCTTATTGAGCTCAGTGATCATTCATGAAAATGGGGACACTGTGACACTACTGAACATGAATATTTGTATAATCATAGGTAGGTCCTTGATAGTTGACTGTTATCGGAATATACACAAAATTGGAATGTGGACTTATTTACTTCCTCATTTTACAAAGATATTGTATTTCTTACTTCTCTTTACTTACTGATGAAATACGTGTGCATTCAACTAGGAATTAATCGCACTACACTTGTTTTCAGTGTTGTGAGATGAATATTGAGATTTAGTGATCAATAACATTTTTCAAATTTTAATGCGTGGGAAGGGAACCAATGTGAATAGCTGGCATGCTCTTATTGAGTAAACAGATTGGTGTCTGTCAGAAGTGGATTTTGAGTGGAGAGTAGTAAACAAAGTAGATCACTGTAACGAATTTATATGACTACACACTAAGAGGAATAAAATCCTAGAGCATCACTAATCACAAAGACTTTGTCAATGTTGGGCCTAAATTCGTATCTGACTTAGGGTAGTTTCTGCACACGGTTTGAAATTCGTAAGACCTTTAGTAGCTTTGAAGAAGACATGATTGTAACATAATACCTGCCGTGTATTTTATCAGATTTGTAATGCACAGTTCAAAAAGCAATTCCGTGTATCAGACATGTAGGAGATATGTTAAGACAGGCTACATGACCAGCCAAAAAATTGCTAAAATTGCCTCTTGGTCCACCTTTTAAAAGTAGACCATCAAACCTCACTTGAAGTTTACTTCATGTATGAACTCCCGAGTTGATGCTATTTCTTGACGGAACAGGTCATATCAACAAGACTTTCGACACGTTCAAAGAGAGGTTAGATCCATGTAAAACAACCGTCCCTGGGAACAATCATACATGTTTTCACCTACTCCTGAGGACCAACTGTAAGTTTTGCTTGTGTTTCTGCAGTCGTTCTTTCTTTTTTGCATCAAATTGGTAAGGCTCAGTATTCATGTAATGAGAAATATCACGAGACATACAGAACTAGAGTTAAACCAACTTTTGTTTCTTCATACTGCACAGACATCAAATTTGCCCATATTGGATAAGATGAACACAATTCGTTTTTTAGTTCGAGAATCCTCACATTTATTTTTAGTTCTTTCCTACTACTACTTTAATGACCTGTAATATGACCAGTCCAATGAGGCAGCAAGTAGACCGGTTATGTGTGCAGAAAATCTCTATCCAGGTTATGAGACACTGACACGAGATCACCTCTCACCTTTTCTGTGGATAAGCAGAAAAAATCTAACCGTTTTAGCCATCATCCACGGTTAGTGAAAAATAAAACCTATTAGGCTTGACAAAGCCGTAAATATACAGTGAAATCTCTGATCTGGAGTTAGTAGTCTTAAAAGCAACGCTGTTTCGCAACGACAGTAAAAATCGTTTTAAGAACCACGTGTGTTCTTCATTTAAGCCGTAGCTCAGCATAACAATCTGTTTGTCATAGTGGACCTAAGTTCTATTCATTTTGATTGTCTCAAACTATATAGTTTCTGACTACAGATGTCTATCAAAAATAGTGTGTTGATATAAATTAGTGCGTAAACCACTATTAGACATGCTCTAATGAGAAAGTTGTGATCTACTGGAGTAACAGGAGAATAGTTTTCCTAATTGTTTGTGGTAAAGCCACGTATATTTATTAATCCCTGATGTGCATCACACACTTAATAGTATTCACTTGCTGTGGCTGTATCATTTGAACGTAAACATAATAAAATTCTGGAGAAGCAAACAGTAGAGTTTCTGGTGCGTCTACTAGTTCGATTACCGGCACATTAAAGTGAACGAGTAAAGAGGAAAATTTTACTGCCAGATGGTACACGTGCAGTGCACCGAGAAAATTAGTTCATGTATGCCGTAGACCTTCACTCTTCGTTGTATATGTAATGTTACGCGGAATTTAGAATTGACAATATCCATTTATTGAACGCAAAACCAACCACTTTTTCTTTACTGGTGGCTGAGTAATGTCGACTAGGATTGGTTTCAGCATGTGTGACTGAGGCTTCAAGAAGCTTACTGCATGTGGACATTATTGCAGACATAAGCTTTATACATACTTACGTCGAAGAACACTTAGAGATACTTGAACATAATTAGCAATTAACAGTGTCAGCTGATTAACTATTGCAATGTTGGAAGTTAATAATCCTTTCTATGCTTCCATCACAACAACTGTTTCTACGGTAAGATGGAGCAGGCTTTATTTGCAAGCAGCACAAAATGTGCTGAAACATAAACTGTGAATTTTTCAACGTCTGTGTGACGACTTTGAAATCTCAGTTGAAATTAAGATAGCCGATTATTAAGAATGAATTTTTAACACACTGGCAGAAAATCAGATTTTTCAACACTGTGGTTTCACTATGATAAAACTGAACTATTAATAAGATGTATATTGTTCAATATATGATCGAATCTAAAAACTTTTCTTCTCCATCTTTTCATGCATTAAAAACAATGTTACCGGGCATATCTGTAACTTTCAACTCACATTTGTTATCATCTAATTTAATAACTTAAGCATCCTGTTTTATGCTATGTGTCGTATAGCAGTGATCAGGTTTTCCAGTATTTCACACAATTTCCTAGTTCCAAAACTTCCTTCATTTGACATCTAGGGTCACATTTGGCCCTGTTTTAAGTCCTTTTTAAAGTACGAGGCAAACCGTCATCTCTGAAACTTCCTACTCTAAGTCTGGAAGCAAAACCAGTGGGGTTATAAAAGGTATGCGGTTGGTTTTTTGCTTTAATTCTTTTTTTCGTTACTGTAATACACTACGTTTTCTGATAAACTGTGTGTTCAACGAATCCATTTTATCGTGAGTAGACATCCATGAGCAAAAACCTGTTTTGTGTGAATGGTAGCTTTTGTAACTGTTGAAGTCTCCACACCATACAAAAGAACGGTTTCGTGTTGAAAATTGCGACTTTGGTGTTGGTTGACAGTTGTTCTAAACCCTAATTTTTGGTAGGTCAACACCAGTAAGGAGGTCCATGTAATAATAATAATAATAATAATAATATACTGCTTCGATGTCAGGTTTATTGACTGGGACTGGTCTATTCAAAAGTTCTTCAGAGAGCTTAACCAACCTGTTCTACTGTTTCCGAATGTCAATGATTGGTTTGCCTTCCTTATTCCTGACCGCTTTTGCTGGCATACCATGCTATACAACGGGCTTTTTCGTCTCACCGTGTAATTGCTTCATGTTTCCTCAAATTGGGGATTTTCCTCCATCAGTGCTAGATTTTCCACATGTATCTGCTTATCAGCTACGTATTCGGCCTTTTCCTTGGCTATATCTGATCTTGTTCAGCTGCCATAGTTTGCTGTCGTCAGTTCATCCATTTCTAAATCTTTTCCGTAACATCAACAGAGATCAATTCCTTGTGGTGATGATTCTTGTAGCCAGAACCTCATGATATGTTGGAATGATTTCTTCGTTAATCTCCTCCAGTCGTTATCCATCGTAATTTCCACTTCATTGAGTAGATAATGGAACGAACTGTTAACGGTTAACATGAATTCTTTGAGTTTACCAGTATCCCGAAGAAAGGTCTTATTAAACTTTTGTAATGCTATTCCCCCAGCTGTCCAGTGCTTTTTCCGTCTCGCTTTCATCTTGACAAACAGCAAGTGATAGTCTGAAGCTATATCACTTCCTCACTTTGTTCTCACATACTTCATGGTCCTTCTGAATTTTTTCGATGAAGACAAATCTTAACTAACTGAATACCTGAATTTTCTTTAAGCAGCCGAAATAAAGCTTCTGAAAACAGAGGGAATACATAATGTCCTCTGACTTTCCTTTTCATCCACCTCTTTTTCTTATTAATAACTCGCATCAGTGATTCTTCACACTGGTGATATACACTAGACTACATACCGCTTAAAGATCTCTTGTTCAACGTCAAAGCGATTGAACCTGATGGGTGATTTTCAGAGGCTCAGTTTCACTCCAGTAACACTAAAACGACAACCTTATATCAAGAGTTCAATTTGATTTTCGCGAAAGGTGTTTGGCCATGTTTTTTCGATCTTAATAAATTTCATTAGTTTGCAGGAATTCTTACGAAATATCCACACAGTAAATTCGTTGATTACTCTGATACTTAATTTTCTAAACATATGAAAAATAAGAACCTTTCGGCAATGTGAATACTGTGACAAAAACTGTTATTATCCTCATCAAGCTGCATTTTCAAAAGCGAGGAATGCTTAATTTAAGGTTTTTCTATTCTTGCACCTTTGATTAAACGTTTTGATGTTTTGATGTTAGTTAGTAAATAAAAAGGAACTTAGAGACTGAGTAACTGTGGTCGTCGTAACTTCAAATATCAAGTAACGAAAGTCTTGTGAAAACTTTACCAATCCTGAGACTCAAGGCCTTATTTGTCTGGACTAGGGACATTGAGCATTGAGTGTTGGCATTTTTACGAAAGATGCGTCACATTGTCCTTGTTTGTGAAGAGCACAGACTATCAAGCAATATATTTCGGTATTTTAGCCATTTATAACTGACGCACTGATAGTTTAGAGTACATCTGATAGTTAATAAACCTCACTAGTTATTCTGTATTCCTGAGACTAGGAATCCTATTTCGGACCACCACCACCCCTACTATATTTTATTCTAGTGTAAGAAGTTAAGAAGCTCTAAATTGATAAACTGGAAATTAATTCTAATTAAGAAGGTGGAATTCGGTATTTAAATACCAAGATACATTCACGTGTTAATTAGTGTGTAAGTTAATATTTCGCTTCAATATGCGATAGGTTAGTATTGAGAAAATTACTTCGTTTAGACTTCGGATTACATGTAATCAAGCCTTGAAGCCTAACAACTAATAACCTATGCCAAACTTTAGAAATTTCTTGTGTAGAATGATTAAGCTCAATCAATCATACCGTCTTGTTTAATCAATTATTAATTCAAATTTTTTGTCTCCTGACTTTCTAAACTCCCCAAAACTTTTGCCTTACAATGTTCGCAAGATCAGTTTTTTCTCATCACATTAGATTCCCCAAGCGTGTTCTTAACTAATTCTTTCATTGATCTCTCGGTTCGCGTACATTCCTTCGCAATAAGATGCGTTGGTACATGTTGCATCCATACAATAAAAAAACCCTGTGGAAAAATAGGCAGATAAGAGACGGTGTAGTTTTTAGTAAGGAGCATAGTAGTTCGTTTAATGACAAGTGCTTACCAACCTTAGAAAAGCTCTTGAATCCCTAATGACGATTTCCTCTTAACTCTAATTAGAAAACATGCACATGACGAACACGGAAAAATATATCGATAATCAGTTGCCGAAATGGTCATTAAAGGTAACTGATTGATGTACAGAACCACTCAGTGTCGTTTAAAGAACCAAGGTCAGTTCGGTACCTTGAAAAAACCAAAAACTTACCTTAAACCATCAGGGCTTTTAATTTAAGAGAGATAATATCATACTTTGTTTAACTTTGTTATATGTTTCATTTTTCTTGTTTACCAAATTAACTTTCCCCTATTTTTTGGCTTTAGGATAATCATGATTTAACTTCCTGATTATGTTACCAATGGATGTCGATATTCATCCTAACAGTAGAAACGGTGCTTCCTCTGTTTACCACGGACGACGACTAAGTACAGATATACCTGATAGTATTAATGTTTCGGTTGGTGATTCTAGTAACATCAGGTCATCATATGTAGACTCATCTATGTCCGCAACTGGTACTATTCGAAGCGATATTTGTGCAAGTGACAGTAGGATGCTTAGTTCCCTGAATGAACATGTCAGTACTTGCGAGTCTAATAATCCTGTTTCTCGTTGTTGTTCGTTTGGAGATGCATTATTGACTAGCACTCACAGTTCACATGTTATCTCATCTGCTACGAATGCTAAATCGAGTGCTCAACAATCTAATGATCGTCTAGCATATACTGCCGAACGTCATCCCGTCAGTTCGTTTGAAGCTATGAACCGTTTTCGTAAAAATAAGGAATTGTGTGATGTAGTTCTGTTGGTCGATGGTCGCGAAATTTACACACACCGCGTTGTGTTGGCCGCCTGTTCCGCTTATTTTAGAGCAATGTTCACCGGAGAACTTGCAGAATCCCGACAGACTGAGGTATTGTTATTTTAACGTTTTGCGTTTATTTAAACCATAATTATCGGTTAAACTAAATGTGGAATCGACTGAATGATCTTAGTTTTAGTATAACTTGCCAATTCAAATTTTTGACTTATGAGACTGAAGCAGTCTTCTGTTAATATCTCAACACTTTATTGGTTGATCATTTATATGTACTTCGATGAGTAAAATTTAACCATTAAGATAAGAATATGATTTATCAATAGTCTTATTAGTCTAGTACAGTAGATTAACTACTGAATTATTATTATTATTATTATTATTATTATTATTATTATTATTATTATTGTGTATGGCTTTATCCAATATTATGCGTTTAGTACAAAATAGAATTTTCATCATAGAATTTTCCAGTTTCTTTTACAAAAGTAACTATACACATACATACCTGAGAATAAGTTAATTATTTGAAATTTCGATGAAATATTTTTTCAATAAGATAAGAATCTACACAACTTTTAATTAAAATCACGTTTCAGAAAACGAGTTTTTGATTATGTCAGCTCTTACTACCGGTTCGTTGCATAGTATATTCGCTAAATAAGGCATTGTAGAGCTTTTTATATATTTGCTTGCGTGTAAGGATTCTAGTGTATTGGCATTTCGTTCTAACAGAAGATAAGAGAGGAAAAAGATGTGAATGAAGTGGATGTTTATTATCAGATATGATAACACTCGCCAGGAGTTTGCAAGTTTTTAAATGTCTACCCACAACCATATTCGTAATGACTTTATACAGAAGCTTAAGAATAATATGATACAAAAGCAACATAAACATACTGTTTAATAAATAAGTATTATATATATTCCCGATTTTATCACTGAAGAATTTCGATGCGAAGTTGATCTTCATCAGAATTCATTAGCCGAAATCTGGGGACAAAACTTATCGTTGAGTGTACTCATTTAGCTCCTTAGAAGGCTTTTTAATGAACCTTAAATTCTGAAGCGATACTGCTTTGGCTATCGTCTCAACTGTCTGTCAAAATCCTTACTTAAAAACCGCTACTCTGAATAACGTCGTACTCTTTTATTGACAGAAACTCAGTGTTGTGACCAAATCGATGTATTAGACCACTTACGTACAATAACCAGTTTACTTGGTCTTATGAAGCTGAGAACGTCGACCGTGACAAGTACTTCCAAACACTATTAAGCCTGAATAGCAAAGAACACTTCCATATCAAGCCGTTCCCATCAATTCCGATCAGTGGGCTCGTTCGAAGAGATCTTTCAGATTCCTGTAAAAAATTCTACCGAAATCCTTTGCATTATGACTCAAGGTGGAAACATATTATATCTACATATATAGTCCAATGATTTAGAAATTTCTAACAAATCCGTTACTCAACTAAGTTTGATACTTCAGAGGTATGCATCAGCGGTTTAAGTGCCACTTCCGAGATATTGGATTACGGATTTAAACCTAGTCTCACCTTGTGATATTTAAGCAAACGGGTTCATACGAAAAAGCATTGCTGGCTCATGCCTTGTAGTAGAAACTCCATGTTGTTGATAAAATGTGCATTCTGACTCAACATAGGATAACTGGCGCTTGGTCACTTCAAACGATTTATTCATATATGGTATTTAATGCTTTTGTAGTCGTTAATTTTTACCAGTCAGTTATAACGTAGAACTTGGTACGTGCGTACATCAGTTCAAGTTGCCCTACAACATTAGCACAGAGAAATGAAATTTTCAGGCCAAATTCCAGAGTAATAGAGTTAACAGCAGTATTAAAGGTAATCTTATAATGAACGAAGACGTTAAGATCGGATGAAATGAGTGATATATTTAAAGAAAACAGTTTACTTGCAAAATGTTTACACCTTGTCTTCAGACTTCCCTTTGCAAAACAAGCGGGTTATTGACTGCCCTCTTTCACATATCTTCTAGTTTTCAAAACACTTTGATAGCACTGTATGTTTGAATCTGACACTCTTCAGCACTAACTTCTGGGTGACACTGCGCTGCATACTACTACTTGTAAGCCTCGTTGCAAGTAGTATCCACCACAGTGGAAAAGATTAGGGATAGAAGATAAGATTTGAAAAAATATAAACAAGTAAAGTTAATTCAAAATAGAATAAAGGTTATGAGGAATTATGGAAACTAAAATTTAGGGGAATGCGAAGAGTGGATTCACCTACACCATGATCCGTGTCGCTCAGAGTTTCTAACCACCTGTTATGATTATCAGGCAAAGCCTAACCAGGGAGTCTGTACCTACTAACTTGGCACAGTCGAATCGTCGTTGACTTCATGAACTGATACTTTGTTTTGGCTTGGCCTCTTCTAGCCTTCTCTCACCCTACTCATGTACCAAACACCATCTCCCGTCAAGGTAGTCCCAAACACCTTGGTTGGTAAAGATTTACTAATTCGTTCGATTTGCCGTCCTTACCTAGTACCCTATTCCTAATCCCAGCAATGCTCACCCATTGGTCTCAGAGTACACGATAAACGCTTCGAAGACACCAATAATCAGAGACTAGTAACCTATTGATATCCCTGCTTCTTAGTGACTATGTTGCACGTCTATAAACTAGTTACTCCTCATACAGTACACTAACTTAACTAAGAATTTCAATTTTGTTGCTTTCTCATTTAGGTTACTCTCTATGATTTAGATGGCGATGCCGTGGAAACTCTCATAGACTTTTGTTATACCAGCCAAATAACAGTGGAAGAATGTAATGTTCAAAATCTACTCCCAGCTGCCTGTCTCTTGCAACTTACAGAAATTCAGGATGTTTGCTGTGAATTTTTAAAGCGCCAGCTAGATCCATCCAATTGTCTTGGAATTCGAGCATTTGCAGATACACACGCCTGCAGAGGCCTATTACGTGTAGCTGACCAGTTTACACGTTTAAACTTTCTTGTAAGATTATTTTTTTGTTTGATGATTATTGTCATCTACAATGCTTTTGGAATTTATGTGGAATATTATTGTTTGTATAGGTCGCAGTTAAAATGTTTCATTTGTGCATACCATTAAGACTCAGTTTTACGTTAGTTCTGAAATTAACCAAGATAAATGATTTCGGAATAAACAGAGAACGGTTCTACTCAATTATCTCATTTTCTTGCATATGTAGTAGGAAAGTCAACTTAGAACAGCAGACTTATTTGTTCTACGCCATTTTCTATCCTTGAATTCATAATTCATGATCAAGACGCATAAGTTGAAGTTGGATAAAGTAAAAAATCAAATATTTGGAGCGGACTTACTAAAAGAAATCCTGTTTGATGGAATTAGTTTCTAGTCTTGGATTAAAATACTTTGCTACTTGGTCAGAATAAGTTTAAATTATTGCATCTCATAAATAAAATATTCTAAAGACCTTGAGATTATTTCGTTTACTGAATCTTCACTGACTGATTTGTTTATTAGATTTGTACTCATTATTGTTTCTAATAAAATTCAAATTACAAAAAGGTTAGGTGTGTACACCCATATTTGTATTTTGTAAAGTAAGTAATCTATAATTCATCAGTATGTTTGGAAAGAGAAAGCATATTTTGATGCGATCAGTTATTTATTAGACTGCCGTACTGTCAGTCAGTCGCGTACATAGTAGAATCTGATACATTTGTTTGTCAGTCCAGTTTGCCAAACAACATTAGCACAACCGGATACAATTATTTAGCACAATCATGTAGTAGTAGTAGAAGTAGTAACAATGTCAGTGATAGCAGTAGACAAAAGATTAGGTGTAGGAAAAGAAAAAAGTGGTAATAGAAGATTTCGAGATTCAGGAACTAAGGGCAGATGAAGAGCTACCATAGATATTGGGAAAAAGAAATAAACTTTTAGTCTTTCTTTTGAATGTAAATAAACACGTAAAAGCTTAACTTAAAGTTATCTATTAATTGGAACCTCATTGAGCGAAACATAAAATTCTTGGTTCGGATGACAAGATAGAATTCTCACTGAGTAATCAGGCACAATCACAAAGAACCTATTTACACTTAAAACAATAAGATCTGTTATATATTAATATTGGTGGTTAGTTTATCCTATCTTTGTTCACTTTCAGAAGTTCTTGGGCTGGGGAAATTTCCAGATACTCACTTGGGCAAACTTTAGGCTGAAATTGACCAAATCAATAAAATCTAACTATTATGTCTACAATGGGATAACACATAAATTACATAAATTCTCATAATATAGTCAGCTGGTTACATTAAGGTTGAAAATGATTAGAAAGTACTATTTTCAACTAAGCCATTTATACCTAACATTCTTTTAAGATCATATTTCTTAAAATACTCGGATCAATAAGTTTTCTTTAGTTTCTCTGACCATCATACCACATTAAAAGTAAATTGTTGCTATTGATTGGTTTTCATGAATCGGACAAAATGATAGTCAAATGATCGTTAGTCAGAAGATGTTTGGGCCTTAGGAGTTGAATATTACTGGACGCGCGGTGGTGACTGGTGTACGAGTGAGTTACAAACAAATTGGGGGAAGCCAAACCAACACATGGCATCGGTTCAGGAAGACACTGACTTTAACTGAGCAACGAAGCTAGTTGCAGATTAGCTGGTTGGGGTTCACGCGGTTATCGTAACTAATGATTGAAGACTTTGGGCAACATGCCTCAAAATCGTTTGCGCTTGCACAGATGCATCCACTCTTTATTTTTCTTTAGATCCTCAATTCCTGATTTTCGTTAAAAATTTTCATTACGGGGTTGTGAAGATTGTTAAGTTACAAATTTCGGAACCATGAACCGACCAATGTTAGACCACCATTAGAAACTTGGAAGCACTGGACAGCTGTTTCTTCCTGGTATGGCAGTGCGCAACCACGACTCCGGCACCCCACAGGATTCGAACCCAGGACCTTCGGTATTGTGCGCGAAAGCCCTAACCGTTAGACCACTGAGCCGGTTTCTAACGGTGTTAATGTCTAACTTGATAAAATTCACGGAGTTGCGCAACCTCATACAACGTCTTCGGTAGACACTGCCTACACCCGAACAGGTTGAACTTCACCGGTCACGTCTTCCCACTAGAACTCGGAGAAGGTTCCTCACGAAGCTAGTCGCTAGTGAGCACAGGTAATTTGCATTACGGGGTTGTGAAGATTGTTAAGTTGCGCAACTCCGTGAATTTGATCAAGTTAGATACCGGCTCAGTGGTCTAACGGTTAGGGCTTTCGCGCACAATACCGAAGGTCCTGGGTTCGGATCCTGCGGGGTGCCAGAGTCGTGGTTGCGCACTGCTGAGGAGTCCCACACCAGGACGAAACAGCCATCCAGTGCTTCCAGGTTTCTAATGGTGGTCTAACATTGATCGATTCATGGCTTCAAAAATGTTAGAAATTCTGTTTGTATTCCGCCAATCGACATTTTCTCGAACTTTATCTGTTTGATGTTTTTCATCACCACTAATACTGTTATGGCATCCACTACTCTGGGGTTCATCCTGATAATTTTTATCTCCCGTTAATCGGTTATGGCAACCTTAGCAGACACATACATGTACCAGGTTATATGTTGTCCACAACTGACTGGGTGACCGACGAATAACAGAAAGATTAAACATTCAATAGACTAATCGGTTTAATTTTCTTTCCGATTTGTGTTCATCGGGACTACTATGTATGTGGATAGTAAAATGTTAGCAAAAGTTTCCAACCTTTACGAGTTAGTATGTTTTAGTTGTGTTTCAGTACAAGGATAGTTTATCATGATGGGCAGATTGTTAACTGACGAACCTGTAGATTACTTGGCTATTTTCACATCCACTCCAATTCAAGCATATATTAATTTACATTCAAGTTAATAATATGAAGTAGTTGACTATCGGATTGGACCGTTATGGTAGATGCAGGCTACTAGGTTGAAATTCTTCTCATTGTCGTAACTAATGATTGAAGACTCTGATTAATGTAACTCATAATCTATAGCAATGGCACATATCTTTTCCTGCTTAACTTCCTTTAAATTTTGAGTTTTAAAATTATTTCATATTTTTCCATCCTACTCATTGATATTTTCTTAAATTATATCAGCTTTGCTCAATACTTTCCCTAAAAATGATACTGTTAGTATTTCTATTGCTCTGAGACTGGTTATTTCATTTCACCGTGATGATGTAGTGCGGTGACTCGGACCGATGCGTATACCTTCCCAGTTCTACATTATTAATGACGAATAATTTGAGAAGAATAAAACGGGTTTTTTTTCTATCAATTTGAAATTCCTAATTGATATAACTGGGAGAAAAGATAATAATGCTGGTATGCTGAGTAACCAACCTTACATTTTCAGTCACAATAAAAATCAATGGATATAAAATATATTTTCTTAAATTTAGTTTAATTGATAAATTTTTAAATATTAACAAAAATAACAAAATTTATTGAACATAATGAATTTATTTCTTGTTTTCTAACAGCTGTTAAAATCATTCAATAAAACAGAATATAAAAATTTCATCAAATAAAATACTGTTGTTATAGCCAGAAAGTAAAATTATTAGCTTTGTTCTTAAAATCAGTCGTTAATTTACAAATTATCTAATGAAATATTTTAAAGTTGTAGAAAAAAAACGGACGACATGTTAAAGTAGACAGTAATTCTCACTTATGTACTACCATGTTACTACATATGGATGATAAACTAAGACAATGCTAAAGATTCACGTAGTAGATGATAATCTGAATTGAAGCAACAGTAAAAGAGACATCCATCTATTAAAAATAACACCAAGTTCACTAAATGTGAGGAGGATTTAATACTTGGAAGAAAGCTAGGGGCGGCCAGACCAAAACAAATCCATGAAGTCACTGACAAGTGGACTGAGTCATCTTGGTAGATGTAGGCTACCTGGTTGGGGTCCGCGAGACCAAAGTCACCGATGGTTAGAAACCTTGAACGACATGGCTCAGAATCGTTTGCAACGGCGCAGTTACATCCACTCTTTGTGTTCTCTCTAATTCTAACCTTCTGAATTCCTCATAGTCTCTATCTTTCTCTTTCTAAAGTTTTCTCACTCTAGTACACTTCTCGAATCATATCTTCGAACTATAATCTTCTTCATTACTGCTAATACTTCTATTATCGCTATCACCATTGGATTTGAAGTGACAGTTGCGTCTCTGTGTTGACGTGGTATGGCAACCTGAACTGATGTACTTACGTACGAAGTTCTGCGTTGTATCTGTCTGTCTGTCTGGATTTAATACTGCTCAACAGTGAAATAGTTTCACTTTCCTGTATGCACTTTTCATTTTAAATGCGTTCTGAAACAATAGCTGAATTCTGTATATGTACAAGCTGTTCACGTAATGCAATAATACGTGTTCTTAGAAATATATTCATTCAAAAAAAAAACTGTTAAAGCTATCCTTTCAGTTCATTCTAAATGTTTATCACTGAGAGTGCTCACAAAAAATTGAGGAGTGATTTAAGTAGGATTCTGCTTTATTGTAAATTAGGTTACTAAATATAGAGTTTTTATTAATTTGTACGTGTATGGTTACATGAAAACCTTGTTTATTCTCTTTAATAGTTTATTGTCTTTTAAATGTCAAACTGATGATAAATACTACTGTTCTGCAACAATTAAGTTTTAATTATGGTTTTAACTGTGACGAAGAATGTTTTTTTTTTTTTAAATCAGTGCAAAATAATTGGTTTTTATAATGATGTAGAATACACTTCTACAATTTAAGTCAAGTTATCTAGACGAAATAATAAGAATAATAATTAAGCATCATAAATAATGATAATAATTATAGTACGATATTTGAATCAATAGTAATAATCGTAGAACTAAGGAATGAAATATCTGAAAGTTATAAAGAATTCGCAGCTAACATACAAACATTTGACCTAAGATGTGATTTAATGATAAGTACCTTATCTAGATAAAGTGAAACTATCACATTTTGGGGATACATTTGGTTTTTGTATACAAACCACACTACTAGTTACTGTAAAGCTGAAAGAGTTTGATATATATGAACACTTAGATTCAGTAGGGTTATATTCATGATTCGAAAATGGCCAAAAAACTCAATTTAAATTTTCACCTTGAATCGCTTGTTGAACAGTTAATTTATCATAGTTTTTGAATTTTGTTTAATGTAAATTGCATGTCCATACTTCTAGTAAATAAACCGGTTAAATCAATTAGAGTATTCCACCGAAATAAGTTTTCTTCATGTTTGCTTTTGGAAACTTTTAAACATAAATGCTCTTGATCTTTCAGCATCTTTCTTCTCTGTTTTCTTTCTTAAATTTAATTAGGAAGTTGTAGCATCTGAAGAATTTCTTCTATTACCTGTCAATCATCTTGTAGATATTTTACGTTCAGATGATTTAAATATTAACTCAGAAGAACAAGTATATTATGCTGTTATGCGTTGGATGCATCATAATTTGTCTGATCGTCGTCCTTATCTATCTTATTTACTAGAACATGTACGATTACCACTTCTTAGTCCGAAATTTCTAGTTGGTATAGTTAGTACAAATTTATTAGTACGTTCAGATGAACGTTGTCGTGATTTAGTCGATGAAGCTAAAGATTATTTATTATTACCTCAAGAACGTCCACTAATGCAAGGTCCACGTACTGTACCGAGAAAAATTTTACAAGGAGGTGAATTATTATTTGCAGTTGGTGGATGGTGTTCAGGGGATGCAATCGCCTCAGCTGAACATTATGATTCACGTACACATAAATGGCATCTTGTAGCCCCAATGCATAAGAGACGTTGTGGTGTTGGTGTTGGAGTTGTCTATGATCTTCTTTATGCCGTTGGAGGACATGATGGACATAGTTATTTAAATTCAGTTGAAAGGTAATACGTTGATATTTACTATTCATTTTGTCTTGAAGCATTGTTTTGGTTTATTCACTGACAGTAATTTTTAAACTACTCGTAAGTAGTCTAACGTACAACTTGAAATAAAATGGATGCCAAGTTGTTGCAGACAACCTGCCGTATATCTAATTTTCAATGTTTCTAGCATTCATCATAGTCCATACAGTATGTTATCACAGTTTGAAGTATATCCCATATAGTTTAATCAGTGTAAACCATCCAATAACTTAAGCTTTACTTTCCATGAACGTTTTCTTTAGTTTCAAAGTTCAGCTGTCTAAAAAGGTTACTCACAATATTCTTTTTTGTTGGAATTGTCAATAAATTCTCTATTTAGTATTCATATCAATGAATGGACATCATGGAGTTTTTTCTGTATGCCTATGTTGCCTAGAATTACTTTGAATAAAAATAAATAGAATTCTGCTTTGTGAATTGTCTTCTCTACTAAATCATTCACTTAAGGTGTACATTCGTAAATATAGTTGTTTGATAAAAGTTGAAGTCTATGGAAAAATAGGAGATGTTGCATAGTAAAATAGTTCGAGATTTTAAATATTAAAAGAGGGTTGCGTAATGACTCAGGGGTTGCATAAGAAGAATAAGAGGATGAAAATAATGTAATGGTCAGTAGTATGAATAACGTAAAGGTCACAATAACTATTGAATAATAATCTTGGAAAATTAGCACAAAACAAGACCAAAAGCCTACTGGTAAGGGGGATTAGGACTAAGGAATAATGAAAGGTTGGACTGATCGTTATTGCACACAGAGTTCGGGCTTGAATCAGTGGATCGATTACGCCCCGATTCAATTGTTTTGACTGTTTAAATTATTGTAATTGATGACTTTTTTGGAGTAACGTGCTCAGAGTTGATCAGATGCTCCTCTACTAAACTAGTGATAGCTTTGCACTCCTCTTTTAAATGCCACGCCTGGTAATGTTCCAAGATGCGTTTGGAAACTGATCGCTTTGTGCCACTTGTGTAACCCCCCCCCATAGAATCTACTTCCTTTCGATATTTGAAATCTCGAATCATTTTATGATGCTTTATCTTGCATTTTGCCATAGACTTCAATTTCTATCAAACAACTGTCAATACGAATGTACAGCTTAAGTAAATGATTTAGTCGAGAAAAGAATTCTCTTTATTTTTTTCCATAACACAATGGATTTTTTTAATTATCTAAAATTACTTTATACACAGTTAGAGAATTGACTGAACAGTCCCAACCTGGATGATATTAAAATGTTTTCAAGTGATTTTCTTCACTTATATCAGTTATATTTAATGCAACTGGTTGAACTTAGCAACCGTTGTCCTGTTGTTCATGTTGTGCATTTTTTCAATCTTGTTTAAATTTAGATATGATCCACAAACAAATCAATGGTCATCAGATATTGCTTCAACTAGTACTTGTCGTACAAGTGTCGGTGTAGCTGTATTAAATGGTTCTATGTATGCTGTTGGTGGACAAGATGGTGTGTCTTGTTTGAATTTTGTCGAATGTTATGATCCCAATGTAAATAAATGGCTCAAGGTATGTCCCCCTTGTATATTTAATTGTACTTGATATATGTATTGTGCACTACCCCTGCATATTAATTTCTAAGATCTCTTCATAACTATGACATAATCTTTTCACTTGTTTAGTATGTTTATCCTTAGTCATCTACTCTAAGTTTGCATGTACACTATGAACGTAAATATTTGACTTTCAACGAAGTAATGAGTACTAATGTGAATTGGTCTAGGTTAAATTTCCACAGTTTCTGTCCATTGCAACAAAAGCTAGGCTTGCTAAAATACCTCTTTAATAGAATCCGAAGAATATTTGCTAAAAATATGTTTGAATAAGATGTTACGTTAATTTCCCATTCTATATTTTTACAACTATCAGTTTATGCTTACTTGAATATTTCTTTGATTAACCTTTATTAATTTTCATATTTAATGCCTTGAAAAGTATGTATGTGGTCAGATTGTTTAAAGTTCGCCAGACACAACCTGCTAGAACGTCAGGGGTTCCATACTAGTGCGAGATGGTTGTCCAGTATGCTCTAGTTTTAAATAGTAGTATCCTAAAAAATCAATCTGTACTGAATAAAACTTAAAAATTCTACCAGTTCCCACAAAACCTCTTCAACTCATCCATCTAACGTACAAGTTATTTGAAAAAATCAAGTCAAACCTTAGTCATAATGTTTACAAGTTTCCGTATAAGAAGACTCTTCACCAAAATTGCTATTTCTTTTCAAGTAAAAAAATATAGTTGCTTATATTCAAGAAGATAACTGTAATGTGTTAATTCTTTCTACAACTTGGAGTATATATATCAATAAAACCTATATTCATAATTTAATTATTTAATGAGAATCCTCAATTCCATGTTTTTTTTCTAATATTCAGACAGGCTGTTGTGTAAACATATTATGTATTCTTATCAAGTTACTGTGTAGATTGTTAAAAGATTTTAAGGACTAAAATGAATGGTACAGAATATAAATAAATATAATTTTGCATTGATCTAGCTAACTCAAATGATATAAACCAATTTTTATCGACTACTAGTGTATACGAAAAGAAATACTACTGTTACGACAGTACATGGATCGATCATGTAATATATATATCTGTTTTGTTCTTTCTTTCCAACCAAGGTATCTAGCATGATTACTCGTCGTTTAGGTGTCGGTGTTGCAGTTTTAAATGGTCAGTTATATGCTGTCGGCGGTTCAGATGGTCAACAACCTTTGTCGTCTGTGGAACATTTCGATCCTCGTGTTGGCACATGGCATCAGATTTCCTGTATGGGAACTAAACGTAAACATTTAGGTGTAACTGTCTATAATGGTCTGATATACGCTGTAGGTGGAAGAGATGAAATTGCAGAATTATCCTCTGTAGAATGTTTAGATTTACGCAGTCGTACATGGACTCCTGTTGTGGCAATGACATCACGACGTAGTGGAGTAAGTTCTGTGTACAAAAAGAATTAATCACTGTAAAGAACGTCTTACTTTTCATAATTATGAAGTAATAATTTTTATTTGGCGCATATACTTTTATGGTTTATAAATATATCGACTAATGTGAAATGACTTATATCTTCTTTAAGATTTCTGGAGGACTTCAAATTGATTTACAATACAATTGAATTCCCTTCAGTTGCTGTAATATGCATAATCACAGACCAATGTGTAGGGATCATTAAACATTTCATAACCTGATCTTGATGGTGTGATTTTCTATTAACTAATCTATTTCTACTATTGAACATTTCAACGACTTACTATATTTTGTGTAATCGATCATTGAAGACGTTCATATTGTTTCTACCATACTTATCTCAAGATTAAGATGAAGATACAAAATGAATACAGCCTCTCTATCGCAACTTATTTCGCTCCATTTCGTCAAACGTCTCCAACTCTTAGATTACAATTACCGTAAACATCTTAGCCAGGACGTTCGTATAGCTCATACTATTGTTCAGTAACTTCGTTGATTGATATCATGTTTTTGATCTTTGCTCTCCTGGTCTTTTTTGAAATCTATTTTTATCTCAGCATTCCATGTCAGAGTAAGGTGTTATTGGAAGATTTATGATACATTGCTTAGCCAGCTTATTTGATGAAGGGTTTTAGCTTAATCAACTGACTTTAGCGTAAAGTGTATTGAATAAATTAGTAAATGAGTTTTCGAATCAATCAGAAAATACAGCGAGTACTTAACGATGGATGTGGCATGGCGAAAGATTATAATGTAATTTTTCCAAGTCGTAATATCAAGGTAATAGGATAGTACAAATGATAATTATAGAAATTCTGCTTAGTGGGGTAATATTAAAGCAACCTATATACCAAAAGACACTGATCAATCACAGCCATAAACACTAATGGGAAGATTCAAACAAGCAGTATAAATAATGATAGAAATGAAATTCATCAACCAAAAAAAATTGTCAAAGACCATTTTTTTTGTCTTGTATTGAGTTTTGTGCGGAGAAATATATGAGGTTTGGTTTCGTTTATCAAGCCTATTTTGCATTAATTAATTATTAGTATTCGATCATAGGTGTCTTAAAAGGATTTTTCGTATATCCTGGGACCATCGAGTAAGCAATACTGGGATTAGGAAAAGGGTACCAGGCAAGGATGGAAAGCCAACTGGTGAAGTAATGAATCCTCACCGGTTGAAACGGTTGGGACATGTGTTACGTATGCCTTACCACCGACTACCTTGACGAACGATGTTATGTGATGTAAGGGTAAGCTGGAGGAAAGCTATGGTCGGTCAAACCAAAACATGGCAGAAATCCATGAAGCCGCTGACAACTGCATTGAGCCATGTTTATAGGTGTAGACTACCTTGCCGGGTACCGAGAGAAAGTAGTAACCGATGATTAGAGACTTTGAATGACATCGCTGAAAACCGTTTGCAATGGCACAGGTGCATCCATTCTTTTTCGTATCTCAAATTCCAATCTTCTAAATTCATAATCACTTTTAATTGCTCCTTTTAAATTTATTTCACTAGGATTTACTTCTCCGATAATATTTTCGATTACCGTAATACTGCTACTACCCCTACCACCTGGGAATTCAAATCGACAATTCCATCTCTCTGTGCTAATGTGGCATGACAGCTTGAACGAATATAAAAATACGTACCAAGTTCTATCTACATTGTCGCTTACTAACTGACTGACTAATTAGTTTCAATTGATATTCATATTTCTTCAGTATAATTATTCATTTGTTATTATTGATTAGTCTATTTTTATCATTATTTTTGTTCTTATTTATTTTATTTACAAATAAGGTTGGGTTAGCTGTAGTTAACAATCAATTAATTGCAATTGGTGGATTCGATGGTGCTACTTATTTGAAATCTGTGGAAATTTATGATCCAGATACAAATTGTTGGTCAATACAAGGCAGTATGAATTCCAGACGTTTAGGTGGTGGAGTTGGTGTTATACGTTTGATTAATTCACAATTTAATGTTAATCATACATCATTGATTAGTAATAATTCTGTAAGTAATTATAGTACTACTACAAGTCGTAGTATTGGTTATGTGAATAATAATAATAATAATAACAATACTAATAGTACCAGTTGTAACAACAGTCTAACCAATGATGAGTCACTTGGTTTATCTATGATCGATTCAATATTTCCACCTGGTTTACCAATTTCCACAACTAATATCAATAACAATATTAGCAATAGTACTAGTAGTAGTGGTAATAATCATAATAATATTGGCAGTAGTAGTATTTCTCAATCACTCATAAGAAATGTACCTAATTCAACAGTTATTTCTTCTACATTGAGTAATGGTGAATCAACAATCACAGCTACACTGTCATCATCGTCATCAATAACAAATTCTGGTCAAATGAACATTTCAAGTACCAGATCAAATAGTACATTTTTATTTTAAAAAAAATAGAGCAGAACTTTTATTTAATAGTAATCTGTAACAGTTTATCACTATTTATTATGTAACCTTCCCAAAAATATATCCATTTTGTTGTATATGACTTATAGTTAATCCTTATATTTTGTTTTGTAAATGAATTTGTTCCAATCTCTCTCTCCCTCTCTCTGTCTGTCTCTCTGTTTATGTTACTTTTTGTAAAAGACTTTAATTCTACCCGCAATGAGCATATCTCTTCATCTAGTTACGTAATATATTCGTATATCTATATATATATATATATATATATATATATATATATATATATATATATATATATATCTAAATGTATATGCATGCTTATAAAGTGTTATAACTATTTTAGGCATAGTTTCTTCACAGCATATTTATTTTAATAGCTTGCCTAAAATGTATTATGTTTTCATAAATGAAATTAAATTGTGTTTTTTTTTGTATTGAAAAATAATTTCATGACAAATTATTCTTAATTGTTTAATTTCTTTTTTAAATTTTATTTGTATATAGCTTTTTCTTGTAAGTTGTTTTAGTTATGTTGATGTGCAAAAAAAAAATTAAAATTGTTAGTTGTTCATGTGATATTTCATCGCTTACAAAGAATGATCATTGTAACATAATAATGAGCCTATTATTATACCGATTTATGTGCATAGCGTAAATTCTGAATGAACAACACATTTATTGACTTAGTTGTTTTTCATTGATATTAGCATTCAGTAATCAGTCAAATGAAAAGATGACACTTTTAACATATAAAGAGACAAGTTGAAATAATTTACAAGAAGAAGTCAGCTTAGAATATGAAAGGATAAGCTCGAAAGAATGTAAACTACTGAGTTGTTTGTGGTCAGTCACTGGGAAATTGTCATTTACAATTGTACAGGATTAAACTGCAGGAAATTGATAAACGTAAACATAATGTCACGACCTTTGATTATTCCCATTTAAAGTGTAACAAATCCAAGACAAACTGGCATTAATGCTGGACCTAGAAGAAAATATTGCGTCTAACATCCAATACACTTCGTACTTTCCAGATCTAAAAGTTCATATTGAGAGAGGACTGCAATTATTGTTGTGATTAAAATACTCAATAACAATGTAGTAATACTCATAATACCCACTTTATTCAATGACATCTATTTCATTACATTAACGAATTCTCGGCATAAAATTGTAGTATAATCTCCATTTTTATAACGATCCAGCTTGTTAACATTCAAAAGAATCTGTATAAGTTTGTAAATATCGATTATCTCCCATTGAAATTCATCTATAAATGTTTATAATTATCTTTGCTCTCATAACATCTCTTTCTATATCCGAATGTATGTGTATTACACTGAGTGGTCATCGTGTTGGCTTAAAAATGAAAGTAATATGAAATCAATTAACAATGACTCAGAAATGTAATGCGCCTTTTGATTCGATCATCATGGATAATATATATCATATGGGTTCACTCTTATTCGCTTTGGCTTCCGTCTGACACTCTGCGATCTCTTGGGAGATTCTTTCTGATTTTCTTTGTCCCGCTTAACTTCCTTATCCAAACCAGTAATATGTTTAGTGTTGTGGTGGGCTTTGTATCACATGTTGTCTTTCGATCTTGTCTGGTCGGTCACAGTTAGTTTACACGTCACACCCATCTCGTTTCCCTGACTTTCACTTCATGAATGATTTTCCCTCTTCTGTGTATTATGATTCCAATTTGGCTTTAAATTATGGAAATCCCATGTCGAACTCTGTAAGTAATGCTCTATATCGCTTATTTAATTGGTGCTCCAATCGTTTTTTCGTGTAGTGGCTGGTTCTTGGTTTTATTTGTCCGATTAATATCCTAATTTTACTTCCAAACATCGCTTCTACTGGTCTCATTTGATTCACTGTTTAGAAGTTTTGCGTTGGTAAAAATCTTTGAATTACATCCTAGATATCTTCCTTGGCTTTAAGTAGTGTTCTTTTAAAAATATCCACGAACCTCACAACTTGTCTGTTTGACTGCGGATGGTGGGGAAGTACCTTGATGTGTTTAACAGAGATGCAAAATTTTGAAAATTCCGAGGAAGTAAACAGGTTCATTGACAGGTACCAATACTTCTGACGGAAATGTAAATTTCAGAAACAACGACACACCCATGGTTTAGAGTGTGCATGTCGATTTTGAGAGTCCTATGAATTGAAAACAGTTATTTCTAATCGTTAATGCTTTTTCTAAATGACCGGAATTTCATTACATGAGGTCTACGCCAACTAAAACTACTGAGGATAAGTATTCAGCTGTTTCGGGTCGCTAAAACTATCCCATACTGAATACCATTTTACTTCTTGCTATTTATAAAAAACATTTACAATTAGAAATAACTTTCCGATTCATAGGACTCTCAAAATCGACGTGCACACTCTAAACCATGGATGTGTCGGTGTTTCTCAAATTTACATTTCCGTCAGAAGTGTTGGTATCTGTTGATGAACCTCAGTTTACTTCCTCAGAATTTTCAAAATTTTGCATCTCAGTTAAACATATCAAGGTACTTACCTACCATTCACAGTCAAACGAACAGGTTGTGGGCTTCGTGGACACTTTTCAGTGGTGGTGTTTTATTCATTAAAACACTGATTTGTTTCATTATGATGTTGATTCAAGACGAGATAATCCTTGCATTAAATTAGCGTGAATTATTCTCAACATGCCATGCAGCACGTGATGTGTTAGAATTCTGGGGATCTAATTATTCATATGACTTTACTAATTAATAATCAAGTAGGTGTACAAATCAATGTATATGTAAATGCGTTTTCAATTAGCTTCGTCGTCGTCTCTTTTTTCAGCAAATATATCTTCACATTCACCATTCCCACTTTTCTTACTTCAAGTCGTAGGAATTGTTTAAGTTCTTCATTTCATGTATAGGTAATAAGACAATGAGGATAAAACGTTGGCGATCACCCGGTTAAAGCATAAGTATCAACAACAGGAAATCGCGAGCAAATGTCTCAATGACTACTAGTTTACACTCATGCCAATTTGATATGTGGATTCTGTATTAGTCACTTCTCTAAAGGATAGAGGAGGAGGAAAATAGGCAAACCACCTTGCTCTTGCTTCTGAACGATTAGAAATAACTTTTCAATTCATAGGGCTCTCAAAATCGACGTGCATACTCTAAACCATGGGTGTGTCGTTGTTTCTGAAATTTACATTTCCGTCAGAAGTATTGGTACCTGTTAATGAACCTGTTTACTTCGTCGGAATTTTCAAAATTTTGCATCTCTGTTAAACACATCAAGTAATTAAATTTGTGAATATGTTTTTGAAAGAGCCTAAGTACTTAATTAAAACAACTTGAATTAAGAAAGTTTGTGACAGGCCCTTTATGTAACAAACCTTAATATACAAACTGAAGTCATCTCGGGCTGAATCAAATTAGCCTACTTTGACGCCTCAAATAAAGTACAAGCAATTGTTGTCACGATTACTAAACTGTTAAACCAATAGTCGTCCTCGATGGATAATTTATCTAGAAATGCGGAGTTTATATCTTTACACATTAGAAATGGCTGAAAATGTGATCTACATATCTTGTGATTTAAAACAGAGACTAATTAATGTTAAAAATAAGTTAATTTTAAGACTGTAAACCTTTGTACTAATACACAAATTAAAATGGCCTGAAAGAAACTCAGCAGCAGACATCTCACTGTTCTTGATCATAATCATAAAACGCATTCGCAGACTGAAGAGCTGATTAACGGCTACAGCTGTACTTGACACGTACAATCTTTGTAATTTCCAAATAGAAAAGAATATCCAATCGAGCCGTTGCAATTTATGTTTGTTGTCAAAGAATTTATCAACAGTTGATACTGGCCCCCAGGGAGATTCATTCTTACGTTAAAGCATGTCCATATATGAATCAGTTTTTTCATAGAAACTCGAGTAGATTTCACTTGTAAACTGAAAAATAAACAAAGCTAGTTCGTTGTGCTTGATAATAAATTAAAGCTAAACAGAGATTTCAAACCTAGGCTTCATTAGAAACCGATTTCTACACACTTCTTCAGTTCCTCCTGTTTAATATTGGTGAGTGTGCGATCTTTGATACCAAGAGGATTAAATTGATCTTTGTCAATCGGACATTTTGCAAATCCAAGAATTTAAATATATATATATTTCAGAATGTTACTTCATTTCGGAAAATATTACTAATTTTAACTAATCAGTGAATTTTCAGATTGAACAACCACTGTTTTATCGTACTATATTGCTTTCTATCATTTAATTATTCGGTGTCTTACCATAACATTATACAAAGCAATTCTTAATACATTCATTATTCGTGTTTTTCGCACAATGTTTTAAACTTTCATAAAACAAAGTTCAGTTTATTTCTAAATAGTCCTTTATCAAGTGACTGAAAAATATTTGGATGAATATTATTAGAATTGAAATTTCAGTTTGGACATTGAATGAACGAATGTATTTCGAAATATTTAAATGTTACTTATTCAATGCAAAAGGTAATAATGTTAGAGTTTGGTAGATATTTAACTAATTCTAGAATTTTTCCACAAATTAAGCTCAATGAACTGCATATTTTTTATCTTTAAAGCACCATCCTTAATAGGAATAGATCATTTGTAGCTTGTACAGGGAATGGCAACTTAGTCTTTTATCAAGAAGATTCAAACACTTTCTTTTCATTTTTACTTATCTTATTTAAATGATCCAGCAATAACTAAGGATTCATATTTAATTTAAAATACTATAAGCTCTATTATAATTTCTAATCTAATCCAACTCAGCTATCAGTATGATAATAAAAGAAGAGGTAAATATATGACTAATTCACCTGATAAACCAGATGAAAATGTAAAATTAGCATATCACTAATGCGTATCTGTTCATTCTGATGATATTCCTGCTGAATATTTATTAAAATTAATCATTTGAAATTTCTATGAAACTGCCTAACACTGTAACT